GAAAAAGAGAGAGATTCCTTCTGCCATTGACGAGAATAGTGCGAGTCCAGAAACTGTGGAATTATTCTTGAGAGAATTAGGGAGCATTCCCTCCTTGGCCAAGTTATCCTGGCAGCGGACACGTCCTCAAACCAGACAACAATGCATCCAGCGTATGACCATGGTCTTGTCCAGAGCACGGCGGTTGGAACGATTGCACTGTTACTCGTGTTCAGCCTTTCAAGGAACTGTGCAAGACTATCACAATTTTGCCAGTGTTTTGGAAAGCCATCCCAAGTTACACGCCATTCAGTTTCTTCCAGCCATTTTCCCCAGAGGACTTCAACCAGGGACCGCCAATCTCTTGCCAGCAGAAGAAATCATATCCGTCAAAATTTCACCTGTACTGGAGGCCATTGCGACAATACCCAATCTGGCAGTATTCCATGGGGACTGCTGGTTACCGCCAACCACCCCACCACATCTGGTCGAAAGAGGCAGAAGACGAACGAGGAAGACGAGGATGAAGACGACATGGACGAAGTCGATGACACGTTCCAACCGGCAATACAAGCTATGAAATCCATCAGTGGACATTCACGGCTGCAGCAAATAACAATCTACGGACCAAGTCTCGTGGCGGCGGCTCCCGAGTTACACACTAACGCCACCCTGAGGTTCCTAAAGGTCAAATTGGGTATGATCAAACGACGAACCAGAAGCAACAACACTTTTGAGGGACAAGTATTGGCTGACGTTGTGCGGAGTGCTCCATCTCTAGCTACTCTGGTCTTGACAGTCGGGCACGAAGCATTGCGATGCCGCATTGATGGACAAATCCTACACGTCATCCAGGCACTGCAAGAGAACACCACCATTACAAAATTGGACCTCCCGTATCATCCCAAGAACCATGACATTCAAGAAGCTATGATTGACATGCTCCAGGAAAACAATATGACTCTGACGGAAATCAATGTATTATTATCCAGCGACAACGACAATGCTGCTGAAGACGAAACATTTCTGCAAAAGCAAGAGTTTTTCCTGAGACTAAACAGACTGGGTCGCAAGAGGCTACTGCAGCTATCTCCTGCCGACCGCCGTCCTTGGATCGAAACGTTGGCCACCGTGTCCAATGATGTGTCATCCTTGTTCTACTTTTTGTCCAAGAATCCAACCCTTTGTAGTCACGTTGCGACGGAATGATGATTACATTACCACTCCGACAAAGCCATTGTGCCTGCTTGTTTGGAGCACCAAACGAACAGAGAAAACGCTATTGTTCTAGACTAGACGAATGGAGCCAAACGCGCGAATTGCTTACTTTTGCCAAGGACTCGCTATATATCGGTAGAGGCAGATTGCACATCGAGGAGATGGCTAACTATACCACAACATCATTATTTTGCCTTCACTATGCAAAACGAAACAATATACTGAGCCATCCAACCAAACGATTCGATTCGATCCGACTATCAGTTTTCGCCAGGAAGTTTCATGGAGCGTGCCATTCGAAGTGAGGATGTAGTTGCGAATGAGGGAAGTGTACATTTCTGTGCGTGTAAATCAAATTCATGGCGCTGCGTCTCAAACTCGAGTTTCGGCGCTCTCGACTCGATCTGGAGTGCATTTCACGGATCCTTCAACAAAACACAGGCCTATCTCCTCCCATCCGGTTACCTAGCCACTGCAGTCACAGGATGCCTCGTTGGCGTTGTCCTGCCTCTCTGCAGGACATCCTTGCGCCCGCCGCGTATAGTTCCTGGTAGGGGCGACAAAGCGCACACCGAGCAACTATCACCAGACGTGCGATGTGAAGAGTGCATATCTAGCGTGAGAGAACGGAAATTGTTGAGTTATGGTGTTGCTCGAAGAAGAGTGGCGTACACTATGAGAGGATCCGAGCGAGAGCATCATGCCAACGGAGGCATTCCAATTGAGTAGGAAGATATTGTGTTTCGTTACTTCTAGAGAGAAACAGCACCTGACGAGAAGAGAATAGCTGCTCGCCCCAAAGATGATCCTCGCCAAGGCACCCAGATGGGTGCTCGCGCGCCCTATCTGCGGGCCTCTTGCGCGCAAGCCGAGCTGCCCCGAGATGGACAAGTACGTGGCGAGCTAGGGAGGCGCGTATTGGACACGTCGCGAGGATGAGTCGGAGTAAGTGGTAGGCTCACTGACGAGAGACCATCTTGGACGGCGACCATTTGCGCAGCCGAGCGCAGGCCGATCTAAGGTGTATGGCGAGAGGTGTTGTAGGTGCACTGTCTATGAAGCATGATACCCATGCGTCGAAACTAGAAGGCGCTAAGGATACTGACTGCTCAGAAATTGCAATGATAGAGCGAGAGTAGCGCATGCTTGAGCACCTAGCTTAGGAGCTCTGTCACGCGCAAATGTGCTGGCCGTGCGTGGTGATCCAGTAGCTGGTTAATCTCTCTATATATATGCGCGCGGAGATTGCCCACATTTGTGGATCGAGGCTGCCTTACAGAGCGCGCGAGAGCGTGCGAGTCGCCATCTATCATGAGCGAGACAGTATGCAAGGCGTGCCACTTCGAGCGTCGGACCCACACGAGGAGCGTGGTATTGAGTGTATGTTTCTTGCAGAATACGGAGAGCGCGCTGCGAACGAGCGTGAGAGATGCGTGTGCATGGAGATGCAGCTCGTTCTTATAGATTGTGAGGACATTGGCTGAAATGTCACGGACATAATCAGGCGCGCGTGCGTGCAGATCTGGTAGCAAGGCTAATTGTGGTCGCTCGCACCGGGTTTCCGCCGAGCGCCTTTTTGTCATTGGCGTGCTGTCGTTCTGCACAGCGCGCGCGTACGGTCTGCTTTGGATGACACTCTATGTGTGCGAGCGTATCCGTGTTAGTGTCGTGCATGCAGACTGAATGCTCGCCAATCTTCTGTTTTAATAAACGAGTGACAGTCACTCCGAGTACGACTCAGAAAGACGTTCTTTTGTAGCATATGCCATATGCCCCAAATTGCTTTCGGAAATTGTTTCTCGAGTACAAGTTACAAGTATTACGAAACTGTAGTATCCAATTCTCCATTCATTAGAGCCAGCCAGATGTGCCAGGGGACTCAACTCCAAGGTGTGAGACGACACACGCAAATTTTCCTGTTGAGGACGGCCTAATCAATTCAAGGAGCTGGTGGGGTTTCCTTTTTGACAACACGCATCACAGTACCGGTACAGCCATCAGAAGGTTGGAATCCTGGCACCAGATCGCCCTGTGAGCTGGAAATTACAGGCTCACACTTGATTGGTGCCATGCGGACAGGGTTAGGAGTTGCAGAGACTCCTCCGTTTGATGGCTTGCTTTTCTTCTTTCCAGCACGCTGATTGTCGGTTTCTTGTTGCAATGGCAAAGGAAGATCAAGGTGAGAATGATTCAATCGCTCATCCAAACGAGTGCATCAAGAGCTGGCTAATCTAGGCGTACCCGTACCCGTACGCTCACGACAAGGAGCTCTTTTCTTGTCGCGGTGTGACTTGTCAGTTGTGCCATTCCCATCAAAAACAGTATTGACGGTGGAGACACAAGCATCAGGAACCCGGGGCTTCCCTTGTGCAAGCTGTCGCCGCATACTTTTGTTTTCCTTTCCTATCTTGGCGGGCTGCGCCTTGGGCTGTTCTTCTTCTCGGCCTTGGTTCAAGGCTTTCTGGGCGATCTCTGCGAGCTTGAGTTTTAGATTTGCATTTTCTGTTTTGATCTTGACTAGCTCCACCTTGAGACGCTCTTGACTGTCGTGCAAATCTTTCTGGGCTTGTTCGTAGCCCGTCTTCAAAGCAGTATGGAGCTGCTGCGAAAACCACTTCTCTTTCATCTCCAGCTCTTTCTTGGTGTCATCATGCTGTGATTGCAGTCCATCTACCTTCGATCGCAGCTCATCCCGTTCAATCACAGTAGCGGCAAGCTCTGCCTCGACTTGTTCTTGAGTGAGAAAAGCAGCCTGGGCTGGTGGAATCGCAGCCGTGTGGTTGAGTGGAGGCATCGGTGGAAATTCGGCCTCGGCCTCTGGGATGGCTTCGACCTCCGCAGTTGCTTCGCCAGCTTCACCAGCTTCACCGCCACCACCACCCACGGCAGCAAACTCTTCGTCTCCGTTGCTGTCGACCGGAAGATCAACAACACCGCCGCCTCTCGCAGTGGCAGCTCGTAGATTGTCCGGTTGACGAGTCTCGCAACCGGAGTTTCCATTCGCTTGCTGGACTTTGTAGCGAATGAGTTCCTCCCAGTTGTCAATTTTGGCAAAGTAGGGAATATCATGTTCGTGGTCGGCACGACAAGTCTTGATTTTCCATCATCATCAAGACGATAATCGTTTCTCATCAAATTCATTCCGTGCTCCGAAATGAGAACATAGTTCACTGCCAATGCGTTGCGTACCTGCGTACAAGATGACCAGCGAACCAAGGCTTTGTACTCTTCAGATCCATTGACCATAGCTGCAACTTTCTCGTTGGAAAGGCAAGGCTGCGGCATTGGCTTGTCCTCTGGGTTGTGAGCTGGGTTGTTGGCATCGTCTTTGCAACTCGCATTCTCGTATTTGCACACTCGGCTCTTGTTGGCGTCCTTGTGGATACTGAAGTCGCCCACAATCACATGAGGACTCGACGCGGCATTTGGGTGCACTTGATCCACCACCAGCACGTAGCAGTTTTTGAGAGTTCTCTTTTGTGGAAGTGCGACAATGTTCAACTTTCGCGCCTCCTCGTACCAACCATCTTCGCCTGCAGTAAAGTTCTTGTCGTGTATCTGGAGGGAATACTTGTGAAGCTCTTGTCTGGTGAGAGGGATTCCTGCCCTGGATTTGAGCATCAATGCCATGACCTGAAATGAATGCTCGTTGAAGTTGTTTTTGCAAGCGAGTTTCCCAATCAAGGCACCCGCCTTTCGATGATCCAGCGTTACTACATATCGAAGTTGAATGTGAGGCATCTTGGAAAAGACGATGCGAAAAGACAAATGATAGACACGATCAATGCTGTCTTTTCCTCCTTTTCCTTGGTTGATCTCGATCTGGTTTGTCTCCGTGGTAATAGTGATTGCAGGAGTATCCCGAAGAAGACAGTTCGAAAGGAACACGGTTGGACTGGAAAGGAGTAAACTTCACATCCAACAATGGTGGCTTCGAAAGTGAGTGCTTGGCATGTGAGAGAAAATGTGGGAAGGGAGGAGGAGCGGGGCCGGGGAACTCAAATTTGAAGAGCATGCCTCAGGCATGCCTCAGGTTTAAGAATTCAGGCTGCCGAAGGCATCAGCCCTCAACAAGTTTTGAATCATTCGGCTGGTTGGCTACGACGCGTTGCTGGCTAGCTAAAGTAGATAGGCAGAGCCCATTTCTAGCTAGGTAATAAACAGTTGGCTGCTTGGGTACAGTAGCTATCTAGCTAGCTAAGATATTAGGCTCTGCTAGCTACTAGCTAGGTAATGAACAGTTGGCTGCTTGGGAGCTACCAGGTACGATACGAGCTAGTAGCCACTCTCGCTGGCCTAGCCAGCCATCTGTCGCTCTTTTAAAATTTGTTGAAAAGGTGTGAACTTGAACGCACAATTTCTCTAATTTAATCAATATCCTTCCAGCTCTACTGTCTAGTAGACTGGCTATTCGTTTCGTTTTCTCTTTCTCTCTCGTTCAGATTGTGAGCTCTACAACTGAGCTCCGATATGCATACATATACCAGGATCTTTCGATCCTCTGCTTCTCGCAGTTTCATCTACAGATAGATCTCGTCAATCTATCTTCCTGAAGTGCATGGTTGGCCCTGGAGGGCTTTCCCACTTTACTAAACCTATGGACCTTCATCCGTCCATTCATTTGCTCCATCCCGTCGCTCCTTGCATTCATCTCTTCGACCTAACTTCCTAACCTTTGTAGTTGCATCATCTAGACGACCATTGTCCTCGTTCCTCGTACACCTGGCCATCTGATGATGATCGGATAACCATCTGATTTGAGTCACACATCCCCAATCACGAACCGTGATTGTGGATCCCGGGTCGTCTGTCCGTCATACGAAAATACCTTTCTGACAAAAATTTTGGGCATGCTGTCTTTATAGGGTTAGGGCTAAAAAGTAAAGGGACAGAGGGACAATTTTAAAATTACAAGGGCCCTACTGGTACATCCGCTGAGGGCACACCAGGTACAGTGCCAAGAGCTGTGTCAAGTGTTGCGGTACATGTAGAGGCTCGGCGGGTGGCCCACCTGCAGAAACGTTCCAATTCATTCCAAAGAATGCCATCGTAAGAGTACAGTTAGTGGGCACTCGAATGATTGCTTCGTTGGTGTTGGACGGCTCCACGGAAAGAAGGGAGGAATGCAGGCTCCAAGTGTCAACAGTGGCTAGTGGGTATCACCAATTGCATGATAACTAAACCAAAGCTACAGAATGAACCAATAGTCAATAGTCAACCTGTAAACTACCAGAAAGATTTGTAACTCCACGCAGATGGCAACTGTCTTCTTTGGGGGTATATATCGTTCTTGCTGGCTAGCTTATGGCGTCACGCTCATCCTTTTTCTGGTTGCTAGGCACATTGACATCGAGCCGGGCATCTTCGTAGCTTGCTCTCCACCGTGCCCATCATAACTGCCACAAACATCTTATCAAACAACCCTACAATAGGTTGCTTAGCCATGAACCTCCTCGCCACACATCAACACAGACATGATTACACGCCATAATATGGTTCCCCGGTTCCATTCTTATCACGTTCCGACCACTCAAACTACGAGCACTTCATTCCAGCTCCACTAAACGGACTTGAAAACACGAACATTAGTCTCCTGAGTACGGCGAGGGTCTCCGCTTCCGCGGCCACGTGGGGTGAATCTGAAGGCACCCCGACCGCCACTTCCACTTGTACAACCAAGCCCACCAGTTCGATTACTACTTCGACCACCGCTTCCCCGGCCACGAGTATTGCCTCGATCAAAGGAGCCACCACGATTCCGAGCGAAACGACCAGCTTGCTGCTGTTGATCATCATGGTCGATTGGCGCTGTTGCAATGCCTCGGTTTGAATTGGCAATGGTCTGAATGCACTGAAAGCGCCTTTGGCCTATCCGTTCAAAAATTGCTTGGCAGTATTGACAAGGTTGCAGTTCATTTGAAGGGCAGTATCTGCTCGCCAATCATTGTTTTGAAGGGCCAGCGATTGAGCAAACTCTGCCAATTGATGTTGTTGATCGTCATTGTTGCTTGGTGCTGTGGCAATGTCTCGGTTTGAATTTGCAATTGCCTGAATGCATTGAAAGTGATTTTGGCCCAAGCGTTCAAAAAGTTGCTTGGCAGTATTGACAATGTAGCAGCTCATTTCCAGGGCACTATACCAGTACATTGGTAGGCGCTCGTTGTTTTGAAGGGCCTGTGATCGGAGGTTGAGACCAGCAAACTCCGTTTCCAGCAATTGATGTTGTTGATCGTCATGGTTGCTTGGTGCTATGGCAATGTCTCGGTTTTGAGCAATTGCCTGAATCATTTGACGGGGCTGTATTTTCTAGGCTCTGAATCAATTGATGTGTAGTATTCGCTAGGTGCTGAACCATTTGATGGGCAGTATACACTAAGCGCTCGTTGTTTTGAAGGACCTGCCATCGAATGTTGAGACCAGCAAACTCCGGCCAAGGATCAGACTCATCATGGTAGGCTTCCTCTTCGTGGATGGTTGGAAGACGTGAGGTTGTAGTGAGTTGTCCAGGGTCGAAGGCCCAGTCAATGGTAATGGCTGAATCAACGGTCGCGCCATCGGGAAAGGGCTCTGTAGCATGCATTGCCGACGCATCATCGTCGTCATCGGCTTCTTCCACAAGAGCAGCCCGACATCTACTAGCAGCATCACGAATGACAGCGGGACCCTCTTCGCGAATTTGTAGAAAGTACCGGTACTTGTATTCAGGCCCAATCATGTGAGGTAGGAGATCTTGAACAGTGTCCAAATTGAAGCAAGGAGTCGGCGCGTTGCCGTCGCAGTCGGTATCTCTTGAAGTCAGAAGACGATGTCAACGACAAGCACAAGCAAGGCGAGGAACAACCGACCAGGGAAGAAGTGGAAGAGGACAAGGGCAACAAGAAGAGGAAATTGACGACGACACAACAGTGGACCAAGGACCCAGCACTGCAATGAATGAAAAAATGAGCCATGACAGTACCGGTACCGATACCTGGTACCAGGTACCTGGTACATTTAGACGTGCATTGTGACATGATGACAGAGACAAGTTAACCGCCAAATACTGTCTTTACAAGACTGAAAGTCGGCACTCCACGAGCTCCGCCCGAGCTCACAAACTTCTCAATTTTCAGCACTTTGTTTCAAACAGGTGTTCAAACTACAAATAAATGCCCCTTGGAAGCCAAGAGGCCGCCCTAGACAGAGCGATCACACCACACAAAATTCAGTGATGATGCGGATAAACTTGATGCAAAGTCCTTTCTCACTGGTGCAATGACACCGCATCGAATACCACCTAGGTTGTAGCTATGATGGCCATGATGAGCTGAAGACGTAAAGCAAGTCTATCACTATAATACGTATCGGTGTTCTAGTACGTAGTACTTCTCGGTACGATTGCTTTAGCACCAACTGCTAGTACTGTTCTCGTTCTTCTTCTACTTCTTGCACTACTAGTAGCACGACCACACAAAGAATGCTAGTGCTAGTTCGTCCAAACCACTAAATGAGATTGGCTAAAACCAAAAGAAAGACCACCCAAATCACATGTGAAGTAGGAGTAACAATGACACCCACTACCGAAGACTCCTCTCCTTTGCCAGTGACAGCAGGCAACGGTGCGATGGTGACAGCAGGCGACGGTGCGTTGTTGTTGTTGTTGCTGTTGCCATCCGTGTTGGCAAAAGGTACAAAGACGTTCTCGGGCACGTCCTGGACCCCGTGGTGGCGCTGAATCAGTGCCTGTAAATTTGTTTCGGCCGCAAAGGACCGCAAGTCTTCGGGATAGAAGAATCTGTCTCCGTCGCGGGTGCGAACAAATTGTTCCGCAAGGATGTGGGCCGCTGTGGGACCCAAGATTCCGCCCTCCACGTGCTCTTTGCCAGATTCCAATAGAATGCCAAGCCAAGGATCCACATGGTCAACCTTTCCGTAGATAGACTGGACGGTTTCTGCAATTTCTTGTGTGCGACAAAACACCATGAAACATTCAAGCGGATCGGGTGTTCCGGTATCGTCAGCAGCGAAGCACTTTCCCCCATCCGGGTTGTTCTCACCTTCTGAGGAAGCAAATACCGATCCAGTGGGGTGGTAAGCACTACGGACGGTGTCGTACCCTGGGAGGCCATGATTACGTCCACGTCTCATGTTGAGCACTGGAACGTCCACAATGAAGGGTTTGGCGAGAAAGGATGAAATCAGTCCAACATTCCGAACGGAATCTGCTACTTCTTCATCAACCTTGTATCCATGTTCAAACAGCATGGCGGCCATGACTGTGTCCTCGCCGTCAGCATATGCAAATATTTCAGTGCTCAGGAATGGCCCAACCTGTCCAGACACTGGAAGGGACAAAAAGTCGTCTTCAATCGGCACTCTGGGTCCAACCGACTTGTACGGCCTTTGGAGTTTGGTGAGTGGGATCCTTTCATGGGTTTTGGGATCGCGCATATAGAGTTCTACAGGAACGGTCGAATGACCAAAACGCAAAGCCACCGTTGACATAATATTGGAGGTGGACGCATCGACATCTTCGTCATAGTTGTAGGCATCTGCGGACAGATTGTACGCGGCATGTAGCTTGTCTCCCAACACAACTGGCAACCATTCATCATATACCATCTTATGATACGCTGCAGTAACCCTGCGTCGAGCTTCTTGGAAAAGCTGCTCATCGTTCCAATCAGGGTGCGCCTCTTCCAATAACCCAGCTTGATAGTTGTGTTCCCGGAAGAACATATTGTGCAAAACGAAAATGCCTGCATTTTCAATGTTGCGATCGTCGCCCCCCACGAAGAACTCGTCAAGGTTCCGCGAAGCCGCCAGGATCGCATCAAAAGGCGGATCTGGGACTTCATCACCTCGCGGTGGCCACTCACGACCTTCCGGGATAACCCATTTTGATTCCTTGTTGTAAATTGGCTCGGTCCTGGCCATACACATCACTTCTTCCAATCTTCTTGCAGGTTCAACGCAGTCATCGTAGACGAGTGCCGGAATGGCGACTCCTGGAAATGGAGCTTCCGGAATAAGGGGAGGAGTTTCTCCCTCATCCGTCTGGTTTAGAATAATATCCTCGTCCTCCTCGGATGTAACAGAACTATTGCACATTGGCAGGGGTACTGGGAGATTTGGAGTTACATCACAACTCGGATTGGGGAAGAAAGCCCGTCCTTTCGGCGGAATGCAGAACGAAGCCGCTGAAAAACATGGCTGTGGTATCCCTTGTCGGCGCATTTCAACGTCGAGTGGTTCAGGAGTAAAACCACGCAAACTCTCGCGATGTATGTCATAGACGTTGGAATGGTCCTCCTTCAAGAGATGCCACGGGGTGCCGTCTGTGGTATTGACGCAGTCACAGAGCCGGAAGTCTCGGTGATTGGTGGGCATCCAAGTAAACTCCTTTGTCACGTTGGATGCCAACAGTCGGCCCCTTTTGAACTCTCGGAGTAGGGCAGCTACTGTTGAATCGAGGCCGTAAACATGATTGAGATCAAGGAACGAAGAAGCCCCATTTCTTTGTTCGCGGTATCCACTACTGGTGGTGGAGTCAGTTGGCTTTATATGGACTGCATGGACAAATTCGGGAGCGTCCGGATCAGGTTGAATGTCGAGCAAGGTGCTTTGCTCCTCCAGCTCGAAATTCGGGAAAACAGTTCTTACAACGTCATGGGAGATGAACTGTCCGAAGAAAGTATGCATGAGGTTGGCATGGTGTTTAACGGGGAATTCAACGTTTTCGGTCTTCAAGATGGCATCAGAAACGAGCCGAGGGTCGATATCTCCCCTAGGCTCTTTGTAGTTGTTTTCACCATCCATAATGTATCCTCGCATCGACACATCACGGAGGAGAATGCCATTTGGATTTTTATCAGCGGAGTATCCTGCGCCCTTTAGGGGGTTCTTCAAATTGTTACAGCTTCCGTCGTAACTTGGAGGTGCGTCAGGGTCACATTCTCCAGCGTCCTCGATGCCCACCAACACCTCTTGCTCGGAATGAACCTTAGTAGCCCCTTCGAAGAGCAAAAGGAGGATCACGGCGGTCGTAACACGAAACTTCATGACGAAAATGGGATATGCGAAAACTGAATCTTTCTTTGAGACGTCCCTCAATTTTGTGAGCTTCGCTCGTTACTGTAGCTTTGTTGTGGTCCACGGGCCGGATCGAATGATTCGATTAAATCTTGACACAAACGCGTGCCGAGTTTGCTCGTACACTTCTACGTGAACTATGGCAAAATCCCTGAATAGATTCGATTCAATCCCTGAATAAAGTACCAGGTACCGGTACCAGTACTGCATGGCAGTATTTTCGAATCTGGAAGCCACTTCTAAAGCATTATTGTCAGCGTTTTCAATTATTATTGTAAGTGGTGGAAAGCCCTCCTCGTAGTTGAATTTTGGGTTCTCATGTTCTCATGTTCTCATCCTCTTTTAATTTTTAACAGCGTCGCAGTCCCAATGGCGGGACAGCTTTAAAGCTGCTGCTGCCGTACCGGTACTGTACGGCGTACTAATACATGTAGACTAGAGTGACAGTCTACCTTTTCTATTCCGGATCTACCTCTGCTTGTGTCAGCAATACTGTACCAGCGAAAGATTGTGGATCTACTCTAGCTAGTACCAATTTCCAAAATCCTGGACCTGGACAGCTTCCAGCCATGCAGCTTCCACTCTCTTGCATCTCATTTGGATGGTACTGACAAGCTAGCTTTCTAGATTGATCTTGGCTGAAGAACCTCATCTCGTTCTCTGTTGTGGAACTCTATCACTCTAACCTCCACAGCTGTTCCTATCATCTTGTCTCATGGTGTGAGACTGCTTTTAAAAATTCAAACCGCAGTGTTTTGTGCGCAAGCTCCTTGTTGCTTGGGGACAGCGGATTGATCTCTCTCACTCCAGGGCTATTTTACAGAAAGAATAAAATGGAGACTAGCTAGCCTAAAGTGGAAGACATCCTATGCATACGTACGGTACTTCCGTCAATCAGCCAACACTGAACCCCCAATCTCAATGACTCGACCATGTAAATCGCTTGAAAATGTGAGCGCAAACGATTTAGCTCTCCTGAGTAGGCTCTAATGCTTCGATAAAGGGAACGGGAACATGCACTTTCATGTTTAAGGGCACTGAAGAAAGAAGACAACGACGAAGCAATGCACTTAGTCTACTCGACTCACTCATTGCCCATGGCCATTCCACCCAACTGACTGTTCAGCCCAACCACACCAAGAACTACATAGCTAGTAGACTATTCTACTAGTAGAACACAGACAGTATCGTCTCAACCATGAGGAGCCATTGATCTATGATAGGAATTGGAGGCTTGGGCATTACGCCTAGGCATTTTGATCTGCTTGATTAGCTCATGGCAAGGATGATGATGTCTACCATTATTCCACCCTCATCAACATCAGCGACGATCGATCTCATGCAGTCTCGGCCAACGCATTTTGCGCAAAAACAGCAGTCTTTCCTTTTTCCAAAACATTTCCGAGTGGTCCAAGTACTAGTAGACACCTCAAGGTCGGTTCCTGCTCTGAGCGATGGGACGAAGAAGTAATATCAATATTCCACCCAACAGAAATACAGCTGCTGCCTTCCAGTGTTCCGATCTCTTCGAACACCTCTTGTGAAGATGAAGGTAGAGCAACTTGATCGGGTGTTGAAAGGTTGTCTCGGTCATGCTGGGGCTGATCTGCTACTAGCTAGTGATGGTTGTCCACCATTGCCACCGCCCGACACCGTCGGTCGGCGATGGCAACTACCGCTAATACTGCTACGACAACGGCAAGACCCCAGCCGAAAACTAGAGGCCACCGCTACTACTGTAACGACAACAGCTACCGCTAGTACCAAGTCCTTTGTGGAAGACCAACAGTGGCAACAACCGAGCTACAATACCGAAAGGCCCCGAAGAGCGCAATCTTATCGGAGCGACAGGAAAACCGCTTCATCCCCTACCGGAGCAGCGACCACCGCGAATTTTGCGAGTCAACGCAACGACCGAAGCGACGCGCTGCCACGAAAGCCACTGGCTGGAAACAGCGGACAGCTCCCGGTAGTAGCCTTGGTGGCTGGACAGGAGCACCAATTCTAGGGCTCGGCACACTGTCTAGTCGAGTGGTCTACAAGTGGAAATTCCGAGAGTGGTATCGAACCCTGGTGTATGACTTTGGGAAGAACGGCCAGCCAATCCCGGAGGTTGCTCCAGTGGAACAACACACACATGTTGCCGATTATGCTTGACTTGCCGACCGTCGCAGTGCAACCCAGCTCGCATTTGGGCGTTGCGCTGTGAAAGTGTAGCTTCCAAAGTACTTCTGGTGGCGATGCCAAGTGGTCCTCACCTCCCGACTCTTGCAAAGATACCCGTAAAATGCAAACCGTGAATGGAGCTACAAATAATGATGCCTACCAGTATTCCACCCAAAATCGATAATTTCTGATGGTCTCAAGCAAGCAAGGGAAGAAGTAGAGAGCTCTGATGATGAGAAGATTGTGACGACTGCAGTGGCTGGTGGTCTCGCCTGAGTGCGGTTGGCTTGCATGTGGCGGCTGGAGATACAAGTGGCCATCTGCCTGATGGGCGCCATAGCGTCATCCTCAGAAAGACCCTATTTTTAATGTATCGTCCTCAGTAAGACCCAGTATGAGCGCCGGGAAACGACGCACCAAGACAAGTGTTCGACCAGCAACCAACCAGCACACGAATCCTCCTCTTTTCGGCCTCCTGCTCTGGGAGTTGCACTTGGCTTTCTTGGTGGCGATGTGGCCTGTGCGGAGTACTCAGTTCATTCTGAGCAACTACTATCAAAGCGGCGACACGTCTACCACCAACGCGCTGCAAGAACGGGATGCTCTTGAATCGGATGCCGGTCCGCATCAACATTACTTTGCCGCACATGCTTTGGACCTTCATTCATGCTGTGTCGGGATTGGGCAACGGCACTGAACAGGAACAAGATGACAACAGCTACTGCCGTAACTAGCTAGTACCAGTACATGTAGTTTGAATCCGCAGATTACTTACTTGTGATCCCTCTCTCGGGAGAATGAACAGGCTGCTTGGGAGGAGGCACTAACGCAGGCGGCAATTCACTTCCAATACTAGTAGTTGTATCATGCGTATGGTACCAATGGTCGACTATTGGTTTTGGTTTGTTCTTTCTACTTTAGATTCTGCTGCACCATCCAGTCTAGCTGATGATACTACGGCATTGTCAGATTTTGCTTCCAGTTGAATTTCAATTCGGTGTCACCGGTATTCCTTGAGCAGACTATTGGTTTGGTTGTCGTGTAGATCGTACTTCTTTCCTTTGAGTGAACTTGTTGCTGATGGGAAGATGAGAATTGAGAATGAAATGTAGTGGTGCCCCCGATTTAATAAGCATACTTTTTGCTGGGATTTCGCTTTCGCGAACTGCGACGCAACGTGCACGCAGATTCGGCTTTGTTTTCGGCGCCTTTCGTCACCGAAGCCTCGCTTCCTGGAATATCATTTTCTTTGTCTTGATACACCATTGAGGCGGCGTCGGGAGATTGGATGGTACCTTTGGTACTGTCCTTGTTTGGCACAAGAATCTCGATCTCGGTTTCCTTCCCTCTTGTCTGCCCAGAGCTAGTTCCAGTTCCACCAGTTTCCTTCCCCGCTCGACCAAGAGTACCAGTAATGTTTGTCGTGCTCAAAGACCGACTGGGCATTTGGATCGGCTTGTCACGACCTGAACTGGCCTCAGCTCGACTCTTGGTATCGACAGTCGGTGTGTCTGGAGCTGGATGTACTCCGGTCGTACTCTCTATGGGACTATGCACCGTCTCGACTTCGACCGGGGTAAGATTCGGTGACATTCTCGAAGTGCCACGACGCGGGTCAGGAGTATTCGCACCAGTTCGACCCAAGTGGTCTAGTTCCAGGTTGGTAAACGCCTCCCGCATCCGTTGCGTCATGCTGTCGCTCGGTCGAAGACGAAAGGATGGACGACCACTAGGAGTGCCGGCACCAGTTCGACCCAAGTGGTCTAGTTCCAGGTTGGTAAACGCCTCCCGCATCCATTGTTTCGTGCTGGCGCTCGGTCGAAGACGAAAGGATGGACGACCACCTTGTCCCCTGCCTTGGCTTCTCGAGGCTCTCGTTGGGGGTCGTAGAATGCCAGTTGGAGCAGCGGCAGCGCCTCGAGCAGCGGGAGATGAGATGCTTCTTCCTCGGCCGCCCAAATTGCGGGTGGATAGTTGGAAAGAAGGGCTGGCTGTAGTCACGCGAGCCCCTGTACCGGTAGTTCCAGAGTTGCTTCTTCCTGGGCCGCCCAAATTGCTAGTGGATAGCCGTAGAGAAGGACTGGCCATCGACGCTTGAGCCCGAGGAGAGGCGTGAGGAAAGCCTCTGCTACGACCACCACTTCCGCGCCCACCGGAACTGCCTCGACCTCCAGTTTGTTGGTGCATGCGACCACCACTTCCGCGCCCACCAGAACTGCGACCAAAGGAGACACCAGGGTGCGTGCTTTGACCACCACTTCCACGGCCACCAGCTCGCACGCTACTTCGACCACCACTTCCGCGACCACCGGAACTGCCTCGACCTCCAGTTTGTTGATGTATGCGACCGCCACTTCCGCGGCCACCAGTACTGCCTCGACCTCCAGTTTGACGACGGGTGCCAACGGTTCCACCAGGTGTCCGAGCGACACGACGACCCTGTTGCTGTTGTTGATTGCCGTTGTTGAATGGCATTGTGGAAATGTTAGTGTTGGATTCAGAAATTTTTTGAACCATTGAATGAATCATTTGATGGGCGGTATTCGCTAGGGTATTCGCTAGGTTCTCGTTGTTTTCAAGGGCCCGCGATCGCAAGATAAATTCCTCCGAACGGCCCAAAGCAACTTCATCATTGTATGCTTCTTCTTCACGGATTGTAGATGGGCGTGAATTGGCGGCGAATCGTCCTGTTTCAAATGATCCAAAGGCCCCATGGACGGAATCATCATCTGCAAAGAGCTCCCTGGGATGCATCTCCGAGACATCATCGTCATCGTCGTTGTTTTGGTTGTAGAAGACTTCTTCTTCTTCTTCTCCAAATGGATCCTCGGCCCCCGTTTTGTAGCGAAAAAGCGTGTCCAGATCGGTCAATGTGTCTTCGGGTAGAATTTGATGCTCTACGTGTACGGCGGTTGGGTCGAACTGCAAAAGCTCGGGCACTTCATTTTCATTCTGTACCCACATGAAATCATTTCGCATCATATTGAGAGCTTCGTTTCCTGTGAGCATGCAATTCTCTCCTAGCAACGCTGTTCGTAGATTCTTGCAAGTAGTGAAGTGCAGCTTGTTCAAGAGGTGTAGGGATCCCGGTAGATTAATCTTGGCTTGGATGTTTTCATTGCAAAGGATTCCGACTTTCTTATCGGCGGAAACAACGTAGCCCAATCCAAAGTCGTTCATGTCGCTGCCAACGGTGTCCAGATCAATATAGTACCTCGGAAACCCTGCCACGTAGACAGGAAGCCAGAACCAGCCTTGTTCTCGAATGAAATTGTACCACCTTGACGTGCCGGCCACGAACACCTTTCCAACGACAAACAAGGAATAACGGTCTCTATTTTCATGGGTGAGCTCATGTTGCTCGGCTTGAACCATGATTGCAATGACATGGCAGGTAAACGAACTGTAGTTGTGCTGACATTGAAATCGACGGGCCTTTCGCGAATCCAGTGTCACGTCATATTCAACTGGCATGTTGAATGAAGTGTATTCGGGATTCGGGATTCGGGCAATAGAGAACAAACTGAGAGAACACCGTTTCGTTGCCGTCGCAGTGGATCTCTCTTGAAATCAGAAGGCGCTGTCGATGACAAGACACAACCAAGGAGAGGAACAAGTGACCGGGGAAGAAGAGGAAGAGGCCAAGGGCGACAACAAGTAAGTGGACAAGAAAAGGACAAAGCAGTGAAGAGTGCGTTCGAGAATGCTTGTGAGGAAAAAGCGTTGAAAAAATGAGGGCGCATCGACATTCAAACGTCCAGCGCACTCGATGCCGCTGGAAGACTTAACAGACTCATAACGGGCATACTGTCTTCACATGACTGACAGTCAGCACTCCAGGCGTGACCACGATGTCTCATCGGCAACAATACCGACGGCGAAACACGGAAGTGTACATCACTCCAATAATAAACCCCTTGGAAGCCAAGAGTCCGCATAGGCAGAGCGATCACACCATCACTACTTTCGTTGATGTTGTTTCTGATATCATCAGGAATGACAAGAGCCTTTGAGTATCCTTCCGGTCTTGCAGAATGATGCCCAATGATGCTCGGAATCAAGGAGAGTGAGTGACAATCGAATAGAAGCTCTCAAAGCCTGCAGCTCTGTCCCCTCCAAGACCTCTCAGTTTGCGGCCTCCAAACTCCAGTTTGCAGCCTCCAAACTCCAGTTTGCAGCCTCCAAACTCCAGTTTGCGGCCTCCACCTGATGGCTTGCCTTTTGCCCTCAGCCCTTCATTCAATTGAATCACATTGATTTCGGAGTCCCAGGGACGAAAAGCTCGTCATTGTGGACCCAATCAATGGTACAATAAGCCTAACAAGCGAGTTATATATGATCAACATCATCTGCATCATCAATGTCATCGTTTGAGCCTCTGAAAACACGATAGAAAATTTGCGTCCTTTCAACAAATCTATTGGGTCTGACCAAGTCAACACGAGTACGAGGCAAAGAGTAGTCGCCTTGCTCAGTTGTAAGTACGAAGAGTCTTCGGCGATTGACTTTAGTACTTAGGCTGGCGGTTGGTTAGTTAGAGATGCAATGACTACACTTGCGTCGATAGTCCCAAACTTTCCTTGATCCGTCCACATTTTGAATCCGAATGGTGTTACTGCGGTCTAGCTAAGAAGCAATCAATCTGCATACTGTAGCATGCTAGACTACGAGGAACAGTTAGCATGAGTACTACTGTAGCAGTGTTATAGGTGCCGTATGACTAGCAGCAAGAAGTAGTTATCCAATCCGACCCATTGATTCTTTGACAGATCAAGTTTTCACGACCAACAACAAAAACCCCAAAGTTTGATCGGGACTCTCCCTACCGTATCTCTTCGTTCACGAATGGAATCATGTTACCGAAGACAAGAGCTAGCGGTACCGGTATCCGGTATGGCTGAAGGCGCATGTATGGTACTGCAAATAGCCATGTAGTATCCGCAAAAAGTAAATCCTTTGGATAATGCCGCGGCACTTTGCAGCCTCGAGGTATTGCACAGCGGCACAGCGGAACCCACCGAACGACCGTCCGTCCGACTAACTGTCTGTGTCTTTGGTGCTCTACATCACGATGCTATACAGTACTATTGAATCGATTCGTACGCGCTAGATAGCTAGAAATTTCAATGCTTTTTATGGGGAGTGCGGGTAACCGAGAAGGTTAGCTTAGGTAGCTCTCGGACTACTCTTGTTTGTGCGTGGAAGATGCTTGGTGACAAATGATGAGGTACAGTATCAGATTGCATGGTTGCAATGTGTCGTAGCAAAACATGACTCCTAACCCAGTGGGACGGAATTACTTCAGAGCAAGTGACGATGCTGCATCATTGGCAAGTAGATGTTTCGCATTAGCTTGCTTCAGTAGACAAACAGAAAAAAGGCGTCCGTCAAAACGATGTGATGCCGTTTGAGCAGCAACACGTATTACTAGTAGATGGATTGTCCATGTGGCAATATCTGCTGGTAGAAGTGGCGTCAGAGTTTTAGATAATAGAGATGCAAGACAAACATAACTTATTGCTTTGATCTCATCTGGTATCATCAAGATTTATTCGTCGCCTGAGTAGCGGCAGCAGCAAGCAGCAATGGCTTGGGCGGAAAGGACCGCAAGCGACCCGGCAATTTGCGGCAGCGGTCACCATTCTCAAGTTGAACGTTGGCTTCGATAGACAGTTGCCTTTCCTGGCCGAAATGGCTTTGCTTAGTCAAGCTTTCCGCAACTGGCTGGCTCACGCCGCGCCACCGGAGAAGCACCAATGATATGTTGGCTACAAAAATACATTAATCGAATGATCAGCTTCGATCAAAACTAGATACCAAGTACAAACACATTGGCGTGTGGCGCCAACAACACGTCGCCTCGGCGAGTATTCAATAGTCATGACTCTCGTACTGAACAAGCAAGGTTGTGCCAATCGCAGTGACGATCGCTTTTGCGAGTTTCGTCGTACCAACGGGTGCGGCAAGTTTTGCCCAGTGGGAAGGGAAGCAAGACAAGTCACAACGGTGGTGTCCGGCTGAAATCTGGGGTGATTCGATTCTAAACGCGCTCTGCCTAGCACCTCGTGCTAGAGTAAGCCAAGTTTGCTTTCCTCGAAAAGCCACTATCGTGTTTGTGCAGTATCAGGCAATGTACTCGTACCGGTATTAGTACGGTCTGACGCGTCGACTCACCTCTAGAATGATTCAATTGCTGCGATCGTCTTGATCGGACTCGTCAACTCTCAGTAACGTACTGGTACAGGATCGGGCCAACCATAGATGTGATTGGTCGGGGAGTCGCTGGTTGCTACTTTAAACATGAAACAGTTCTGAAATCCTTGTTTGACGAGGCAATGCAATCGCAACCAGGAAAATGTTTGAAGATGTAACGACCGTGAACTTTACTCTGGGGAACCATTTTCATGTAGCCATTGCGAGAGTTCAGTGTTGCCATAACCTGTAGCGAGAGCCTTGGCATGATCCCTCGCAGTTCAACTATCCATGACAGCCTTTTCACGACACACTCGACGCAATCCCAATGGCAGCAAATACTTCTCACAATCCCACACCATGACGACGAGAGTCGCATGAGAATCCTAGAATGCAATGATTCATACGATTTCAGCAAAAGAGTGATTGATTTCGTAAATTACTATAGTATACCCTCAGCTGGAATCGCCGCCAACGCCAGTGACCGTTGGTTCTATTCTGGGCAACCATTGTCACGCAACCATTGCAGGATTTCCGTTCTGTTTCCACGAAATGGAGTAGTACGGTTCCTTGCCATCTGATACGTCAAGATGCCCCAAGGACATCCATTGGCACGTGCATATTTCAGGACATCCAAATGTCCACAATCAGTAGCGCCCCAGCATGTTTCAGGGTGCCATGCCATTGGGCAGCCGTTTTCGTGAGCGAATTGAAGAACTTCCAGATGCCCAAAATATGCAGCGCTATGTGAAGCATTGACATATGTTGTTTCGTCCCACGGGCAGCCATGATCATGTGCATACTTGAGGCTATTCAAACATCCACTTCTGGCAGCATTGGCACATGTCCCTTCATCAAATGGACATCCGTTTTCGTGAGCATACTGCAGACACTTAAAGTGCCCACGCAATGCTGCATTCCCACATGTATTTGCTGCCCATGGGCAACCCTTTTCATGTAGCCATTTCAGAGTTTCGAGTTGGCCCCCATAAGCAGCTGCACGACATGCATCAGCACACCAGGGATAGGCATTGTCATAAAGCCATTGGAGAATTCCCAAACGTCCTTCAAATGCAGCACCAGAATACATGGATTCACTATACGGGCATCCATTCTCAAGAGCCCATTCCAGTAGTTCGAGATGGCCACCTTGTGCAGCTGATGAACTTGCAAGGCAACGCCATGGCCATGGACAGCCATTTTCGCGTGCATATCTCAGCACATCAAGATGCCCATACTCAGCAGCAATTCTACATGTTTCACCATCCCACTGACATCCATGCTCCTCATGGGCCCATTTCAGGACATCTAAGTGGCCACCCATGGCTGCACGAACACAGGTTGCAGCATTCCACGGAAGCCCTTTTTCACGGGACCATTGAATGACCACGAGATGTCCATTTTCTGCGGCGGCTGCACAAGGACACATGTAATCTTCACGGAAACCATGTTCTTCACCCCAGGTGCAGCCATTTTCATAGGCATAAATGACAATATCCAAACGCCCAATCTTGGCTGCTTCGCAGGGGTTTTCCAATCCCAACTACATCCATTATCACGAGCCCATTTTAGGACATTCAAGTGACCACCCTCTGCGGCCGCAGAGCATGTTGATTCGTCCCAATGGCAGTCGAGTTCACGGGCCCATTTTAGCAAATCCAGGCGACCACCATTTGCGGCTGCAGAGCATGTAATGTCATCCCAGGCGAATTTCTTCTCGTAGGCCCATTGAAGAACTCGAAGTTGCCCAGCCTTGACAATTTGTTTGCAAATGTACTGGTCGCCTCGTATTTGACGATACAAGTAACGAGGATTGCCACCAATATGTCCACCTACATTTGGATGGTCCTTGTGCCAATGGTCGGCACAGGACACACTGTAGAATGTGTTGCTGTAGAATGTATCTGTAGCAAGGGCGCTGCGTTTGGGCTTCTCCAGTATTGGTGGATTCTCCACAGTGTCATAATAGTCTTTGTAGAGTTGGTTCATCTTCTTGCTGACGCCCCCAACAAAGGCATACTGGCCCATGCCCAGACAAGGCAAGATCTGCCCAATCCAAATATCAGTGTGATCCATCAAGAGGGGACAAGAAGGAGCCAAACCGTGTGGTTGGTTGCTGGTAGAGGTAGAGGTGGCAATAGCCTTGGAGTCCATGATGAGAGTAGGTGTTGGGTTGGATCGACTGCTTGCGTGCTTGCTGGCTACTGCCGCTTCGTCTTCTCTTCTTGGGCGACAAAGCTGCCGTCAGGTCTTTTTGATCGGACGGACGCCGTTTGCCTCTTGCTGCTGTCTCGATGCGAGCAAGTCTTCTTGTGGCGGTTCAATCCACTCTTGCCAGCGTCGAGACAAGTGGCCAATGACGGGAGGGTTGACGGCTTCGCAATCGATTTTCAATCGAAAACCTTCCGAATTCGATTCGAATCGGATGATGCAGTTCGATTCATTCATTCGATTTATTCGAAAACACGCCGCGAACACACCATGTTGTGAGCGAAGAGCGATTGCATGGAGGCATTCTTATTCCAGAACAAATAATAGAAGGACAAATAGAAGGCGAACGCCAACATCACAGACACATACTAGCTAGTACCGTACCATCACACCCCACAATCCCAAGAGACTGCAGTAATAGCTAGACTATTATTATTATTAATACTAGTACTAGTACAAGATGCCCGGACGCCGCAGCCGCCCACGGCTGGATCGATCGTGCAAGAAGCGGCAGAAACTGGACCAAGACGGCCGCTGGTTGAACAATAATAACAACGCGGCATCGACGCCGAGTTCCTACGATGACTTGCCACCGAACATTTGGGCCAAAGCGTTGGACTTTCTGCCCATGTCGGACGTGTTGAATTGCAGTATCGCCAGCAAGTTTTTCCTACATCAAGTGTCTCCATTGATTCGGTATCTGCTGGTGAGAAGCAGTGCCAATTTGTTGGGCCACAAGGCACGCCAACGCTTTTCGGGTGTGTGCAATATTTTCATTTACACGTTGATTGAACCGACACCCGAAGAACCGACGCGTCCCAAATTCTGTTTTGCCACGAGCAGTCAATTGGTGCCATTTCTAGGCAGTTTTCCCAAACTCAAATTCTGTTTTGTCGGTGGCTATGGTACCAAACCCCAAACGACGTTCAAGCTAGTAGAAGGACCCGTCTTGGGAATGCCCATTCCCTCTTGGGATACTACCAATAACCGTCATCCGCGAGCACTCTTTCAAGCTGTTGCGGCCTTTTTTTCGTGGAATTTGGAAGAACCCTACGAACCCATTCGACAAGCCATGGCCAGTTATATTCAGGAACTCTGTCAAGCCTACACGACGGGTCTGTTAAAGAAACAAGTACGATTGTACACGCTACCGCAACAACGAAAACCCGGTACCAACGAACCCAAAGGAGAATGCATCTTTCTCAAAAAGAAACCCAACGGAGAAACATACTGTCCCATTTGTCCACTCATTTGTAAAACGTTCCCTCCGGCACAATTATTGCGTTGTTGGGATTATGAAATTCCATGTTTTTCCGTACAAGCACGGCTACAACTCATGTTGCAACAACACAACAACAACAACAACAACACAGACCAAAACAATACAGATGATCTCAAACCACTCTTTCAAAAACACTTACTCGAAGAACTCAAAAACAAGGTCGGTGTCAAACCACCACAAGGCGTCAGCGATGTCGTCATGACGTATCATCAAGAAAAATTAGACATTATGGGATGGCTCATTCAACAGGGTGCCAATGCCCACGATCCAAAAATTGCCCACTTGCTCAAGCGACACGGAAATGCCGGATTCAAAGGACAGGAAAAGAAACAAAATGCACCCCGACGACTCGATCGACAAGTCTACAATCGACTGCGCGAATGGGGGATTGCCGTTACGGCAAGAGACTTTCAACTTGTGGATCTACCCAATGTGCGAGTGGTGCAACGGGTGGATTGATTCGATTCTCTGGGTTGAAACGAGTGGACAACGCGATCTTTCATTCATTCACTTGCCATGGTTTGACGATTGATATATTATTGGAGACACGACAATCTGTATGGTATGGGTGATGGCGAGTATTTCTCGTGAGACGAATTTCGGGTGGACACGGAAAGCGGATTTGGGCACACTGTTATAATATGTGGCGTGCCCCTGCAAGACGGCAGTTTATTACCTGATTGACGCGCTATTTTCATTGTTCTATTACGGAGACTTGCATTATTCAATTCACGCTCGCTCCGGAGAAGATCCTTTTGTTTGTCTTCCATGAAAGGAGTCGAGTCTCTTCGACACATCGCGGTGCTATTATTACGGAGGCTCGCGTTATGGATGCCTCGCTCCGAAGGGGGTCCTTTTTGTCTTTCATGGAAGGAGTCTCTTCGACACATCTCATGCGGTGCAAAACGATACCGGATGGTATTCACCGAAAGGAATTACAGCAGCGTATTATTCATGACGCCGTTTGCCTAGTACATCTCCCATGCCATGTACTCATCATCTGTATGCGACTATTATTTTAAAAGCTATCATATTACATGCTTTTGTATTCTTCGAAAACCTTGCCGTACTTTAGATTCAGATCTTCTCTCACGGTTGCCTTTCGTTGGTTCCATCCAGCTGAGAGATGCAGCCACGGGACGAGAGTAATCCATTTCAAAAAGTCAGCATTCTATTAATTAATGTTGCATCTATCTATCATCTTTAGTAACGTAGTTGTAACGCGCTTCATTCTGCCCTTTCTTTCTTACATGAAGCGAGGAGATCCATTCAATACCTTTTGCAGCCACTGGGGTGTAAGGCGAATGTCAGGAATGTATTTGAGTACCCACGGGAGATTCTCCACCTGTTGGAGGTTGGGAAATATCAAGAGCGCCATGAATCGAGTGGTGAAGAAAGCTGGAGTCCTCCAGTTCTTTTCATCGACCACATCATAGTGTGTGGAGAGGGAACTGGTCGGCAAGACTTTGCCAGAGAATTGTGCCTTGAACTTGTCTTTGGCCAACGCCGCTAGAGTACGTCCATTCAACAAGATGGTTTCCTGCAGAGGTGTTCCAACGGTAGAAGCCAAAAACTCAAAGGCACCCTCGCTGGTGGCTCCGGCCCCCTTTTTGATCTTTCCAAAGGTTCCATTCTTGCCTTGCGCAATCTCCCATCGAACCTGTTCCGTGTCGACCCATCCTGGCCATGTGGAAACGACGGTAATGTTTTCACTTTCCGTCTCAATGGCCATGTCGGCCGCCATGCGATCTACCGCGGCCTTGCCGACTCCATAGGCGACATCGACAAAATAGTTCATGCCTCCACCGCTGGATGTAAAGACAATCAATCCTCGATCGGAAGCACCCACGGGAGCGAGTTTGGTCATGAGTTTCATGGCGTACACAGAGGAAACATAATGGGATCGTAGGCCCACTTTGGTCATGATATCAAACAAATGACCGGCGTATTCGCCCTTGTCCCAGAATTTTTGGCCGGCATATTTGTGTGTATCGCCCGTATTAAAGGCATTGTTGACCACAATATCCAATCGCTTATTGTTGTTACTTCCTTCTGTTTCGTCGTTCGACAATAGATCCGCCTCAATGTTGCGATACAGTGCTTCAATTTCGTCATCGTTTTCATTGTTGCAAGCAAATGCTTTGCAGTAGGTGGCACCCAATTTTCGTGCTTCGACACATGTCTTTTCCGCTGAAGCTTCCGTGGTGGCAGTCAAGTAGAGAGCCGCTCCTGCTTCTGCCAATCCCAAGGCGTAGCCTTTTCCCAAACCACGAGAGGCCCCCGTCACGAGGGCTGTCTTGCCAATCAGATTCTCTTCCAGATCGGGCGTTTGATATCCGCCGCCAAAGTGGTGGAGCATCACTGCCACAACGACAAGTAGCAAGGCCATGCGGCCAGTGGTAAATGTGGTGGCATTATTGGAGTGTTGGTTGGAGGTTTTCATTTTGTCAATCGAATTAAAATATTATGAGCAACCCATCATATGCAACACTAACTCTGAGTCAATCATTTTCCAAGCTCTTTGACTTGGTCTTGACTCCACTCGTATCTGCGGTTGCATTGTCACTGGGCATGCATGACGAGTCAACCGCAATGATGAGCCTTGGAAGGAAAGTGCTGACGTTGGGATCATGATGTGGCCAAGGCAAAAAACAGCGGCTCATCTGCTTTGGGAAGGAAAAGTATCTTGTCGAGCATGCCAATCACATTTCTAAAGAAACCTCATGAACAAGAAAACAGACAACGCTACAGAATTGTTTTGAAGGGCTCAGACCGACAGCCTCGTCCCTAGATCTGATCTGACCTTCAACAGGGTGGCGTGTCTCCTGGCTGGCATACCGGTAGTAGCTACTAGAATTGTGCGAATCGAACAGCATCAAGGTACCGGTAGAACTGTATGTAGGCTCAACAGCTTGATGGTGGAAGCAACAAGCTCTTCAAGCTTTTTTGAGCACTGGGGCCCACCACTCTCTTTGTCTGTTTACTGTGTTGTGATTTCAGTTGGCTGGATTGAATTTGGCCCAGCTGTCCGAGCGTATGTCTGCTGATCATGGAAGCAAGCAACGGTGCAACTTGGAGACTCTCCAAGATATTGGTTATTGGTAAGACGTATCGTATTGCTTGTTGAATATATACAAAGTTCTGATGAACTAACAAGGTCTCAGTTTCACCCATGGATTGAGTGTTGACAACCTCTCCATGATCCACCATGTACTACACACCTCATTTTGAACCTCTAGCTAGTATCACTTCTGAGAGTCCCTTTCGCAACCACGTGATTTCTTAAACATCCTATGCCAAGAATCTGAAGACAGCAAACGCACGCAAAAACAATGAGTCAAAGTTGACTACTCACCAAGGGAAAGAGAAGCAACGATAGCGATGCATCCGCCCAGTTCATTTGCTTCTTTGTTCACTGTCTGTCTTCCTTTCTTCCTTCGTACCATTTCTTTGCACGTACGAACACGAGCATTCTATCTCTCATATGATTTGCCGTCAAGCTCACTTCATGTTCCCACTAAACCTCTACAGTCCCTAGCAAGAATGAATCTATTTGCAAGATTTCAGCAAGCTCAGGTTTACAAGGGGTGGACTCGACTCACATTGGAAGAGCTGATCCTAGACTTGCCCTTGAACGAAGGAAACGAAACAGCCTATCGCTACCAGTACCGTGGCCAAAGGTCTCGATACACGCCCTTGAATGAAGGAAACCATTTATGTCCTGTGAAACGTGTTGTTGCAAGATTGTAATGGAGCTCTTGCTACAGCAATCAAGCAACGTGCATCCAATTATTATTATATGTTTAGTAAGATAGTTCAGTGCCTTTAGAAATAGCAGCTAGCTAGGGCCCAAACAGCCGAAGATTTTCAACCGGGCGTGTACTCATCTCGTTTCTCGTCGAAGATTGTCGCTGGACCTTGTCCCCCCCAAGCAGCTTTTGCGCAATAGCATGAAACTATCTGCTGAATCTTGTGTGCGACGAAGAAGGCAAGAACCTCCAACATTTTCCGAAGAATCCAATCACATGCCCAACCAGAACCAAAATCAATGATACACAGTCAATGAATGAAATAGATACGTCTTGAAAAACCCAGTCTCCACAGCATCAGATTTGGATTGCAAAGATTCCAAGGGGTTGCTGATGCATTGCATGATATGTATCACGAAGGTGATGCCAACAGAATGGAAACTCGTAGTTGGATTTGCATGCGGTCGAGTTTGTCCGATTGGTACAATTTCCAATTCCCACAGATGCCTCGGCAACAACGGCAGTCGATTTCCGCCAGAGTCGAGTAATCAAGGTTCCTATGTAATATGTGGTGATTGTTGTTTCCTGGCTATTGATTGGAAGCTTCCTCACAATATTGCACTTGCCAGCCCAACAGGGAGAAAATTGCCTCGGAACGAGCAGATCCCCAGTAAAGAAGACAATTCCTTCTGGATACTTGCTTCATTGTGGAATCCGATAACGCTCGAAAAAGAAGGCCCATACAACAATGGAGCTAAGGTTTTGCTTGTCTCGTCTCATCATTGGAGTTTTTTTCTTGTTGGCCGTTGTTTTGCTGTGGATGTTCAGTATTATTCGATTTCTTGACCTTGATGAATCGACGGGCTCGTTCCAGTGGACACTCGTACTCGGGAACCGTATACAGCACCGTCTGGCACCGCTCACAGGTCCATTTGAGGGTGCCACCCGCCAACAGCTTGGTCTTACCGCAAGCTTCACACGCCCAAACTCCGCTGCGGCCGCGGAAATTCTTGGGGAGGCGAGGAGGAACGTGGGCAATGCCGTACTGCAGTTCCGGTGGGGGCGAGAATTGGGATGACATACTAATATGCCGATTGTATGTATTGTACAGTAGTAGAGTTCAACTCTAGCTAGCTAGACCAGCCGAGGACAAAGGTCGATTGTTGCCACCGAGGGCGACAACCCACCCCACACACCCAACAGCCCGAAAAGAAGCCAGTCAAGATGCCTGAGCAAATTGCGCACCAAATCAAAAGTCCCAATGCCAACGAATCGAATCAATCGTGACCTGCACATGAGCAAAGTGACGTTGACACGGATTAGTCTAGCTAGATCGGATACCGATACGGGGGTTTAGTTAGAGCAGGTGGAGAATAGATAGATGTACTCACATGGGGCAAGCGAGAAGCTTTGGGCGTTCATCCCTCACCACTCTGCCCTCTGTTTGCAGGTGGTACTTTAGCCATCCAACAACTGCTTCCGTGTCATTGCGAGCAACAAAGAAGGCGACCTTAGAAAGCTAGTAGGAGAGTTCTTTTCGGTTCGCTGGCACATTGCCTTATCCAAAACGTTTCTATTATTATGTTATGTCTATCTTGATCTTTTCATTTATTTCTCTATTGGGAGTCGGGTCGCTTGATGGAATCACTCAATTTTTCCCTGATTCAAGTCATCATTCTGCTGTCCACTCTCCTTTGCATCCAGCCATCCATCTATCTGTAACATTGCCTCCTCCTGTATCACATCTATGTTGTTTGTTGTTTCTTCAGAACTTGCTTGCTTGCTGACTTGACTTGACTGGCAAGCTAGAAAGGGACGCAGTCCTCAGCTTCCCTTCCCGGAATAGGGTAGCCACAGAAGCAAAAGTTTGTCATGCAGCATTGGCTTGTGAGGGTTCCTCTGCAATCCTGAGTTCTCTCGCACTTGATCTTGTTCGCCCACATGGGGAAACGTTCGGCATCCCAAAACTGAGATCCTCCCGTGCAAGCTGTGGCAAAACGACTGTCGCCAGTTTCTCCCGAGGCAATGGTAGGAAGAGGCGTGGGCTTGGGGACAGGCGCAAGTGTGGGTCGATTGGTTACAGGAGGTGGGGGCGTCGGTGCTTTGGTTTGAGGTCCCGCAGCGCCACCGCGTCGCGACAACACGTCCCTGTCGGATGGCGCGGCACGACCGCGAAGCAAGGATGAATGCTGGTACTCCGAATAATCGATATCCCTCGACTCATCCCTATGAGGGACAGTAGCGGTCGAACGATCCAACAAGTTTAGGACGAAAAAGGTGATTGCCAAGGTAGAAGAAAACTTCATGGTGTTGAGTGAAGTGGCTCCAGTTAGTTAGTCAATAGAATTGTCGACGAGTTTTAGAATGTTGGGATTGTGAGATCTTCCATTGCTAATGCTAGCTAGCTGAATTGAAAGATTGCCGGAAGAGTTAGTTGTTAGCGGAAGAGTTGTTAGCGGAAGAGTTGTTAGCGGAAGAGTTGTTATCAGAAGCCCGTTACGTCAGGTTCACTCATAGAAGATCCTCATTCCCTCTCCTTCATCTGCATCGCTCGTGCCAACTACTCCAAACGGCTAAACAGCATGTGGCCAACAAACAAAACGATGACGATACATCCAACATGAGTCCGTGGCACGTCGCAAGGAAAGGGAGACTCCAAGTAATTTCGTCGCTTCCCTCCAAGACCCACACCCACCAACGGACACAATGGATCCAGCTTGATGCACTCCCTTGGGCTGCCGATGCTTTCGGAACAATATGTTTTTGTCCAAGCAAGAATGAAAACATCCACCTGAAGTTTCCCTCACTTTTTCGTTCACAACCTACCTTGTGTAGCCAATGCAGTCGTACCAGGTACCGTTACGTGTGCGACTGCATGTGAAAGGATGTACTGTATGTAGGAGCCAGACAAAGAGGAGGCTATTGGGTAACATGGAGCCAACAAACTAATTTGAATGGATTTGAGTGGAACGGAATCCTCTACCTGGTTCAGCTAGTTTGCCGCCAGCCTCTCGGAAGGCAGCGTCAGCGTCTCTTGCCTGCTACCCGTGCCGGTCTTCTAAACACACCCCTGAATGCTGGATTGGACCAGTTTACGTCTGCCAAGCAAGCAACGCATCAACCATTGGTCGGGGTGCTCAGAAGTGGTACCGCACGGTACGGTACGAGCGAAGGTGTACCAGAGCTGGTGGGCAACCTACCACCGTAAGCAAAGAAGGAAGACTCCCAACACCGGATGACGAGCTTTAGAAGCTGGGCTTTGTCGAGCACTTTCTCGCTAGCTCGCGGTCGCCCCAAGGAGGAAGAAGGCGATTTTCGCACCGAAGGTGACAATGACCATTTTAGTCCACGGCTTGCCTGCAGGGTGGCCAGGGGAGGTCTTTCAAAAAGCGTTCGGGTGTGCAGGAAGTAGTCCGGGGCAGACACAAAAGGTTCCCGTCCCATGAACATGATGCCTGGGCACACAGGACGTCTACTTGAATAGGCAGAATTCGTGTCAGCGTTATCGAAAGCAAGAGGGAATACGCTACAGAGGGATCAACTACGCTTTGTCGAGCTGTACCGTACGGCACTTTTCAGACGACTCATCAGTGTTGCAGTGATGCTAGCTAGTAGAGTGAATGAACCACGCGACTACAGGGCAATCTAGCTAGGATGGTTTGAATTACATTGTTATCTAAGCACCTATCGGGGATTGTATACTAGTCTAGACTCATTAGATTTGGCAGGAGAAGGAACGGAACAATTCCAGGTCATGACATCGTTGCACTGCCGGATGTACCGGTACCTGGTAGTACAAAACAAGCTCGGGAGTTGATTGTCGACTGAAAGGTGAGAGCAACAGTGACAGCAGCATGGTGTCCAAGGCTGCAGAGAACACTGGACAAAAAGAAAGGATGTTCGCAAACAAGCCGGTTCACGAGACAGGATGCAAGATGGTCAATTAGAAAAACAGTGTGGCCCTTACATGATTCTCCGGCTCTCCAAACATCCCAACAACACATCAGTGGCAAAAGCTTGAACTTGTCGTAGAGCAGTTCGGACTAGACCTGAAGGAGCCAGGGAGATTGCCAAAAGGAGAAGCCAAACCAGGGAGACCAATGATGAGAAATCCCAATCACTAGCTCCTAGTGGAGGCTAGCCAAGATTCAATTCCATGGGTCAGGAGCACAGCAGCCAGGGAGAATGCCAAAGGAGCCAGGGAGATTGCCAAATGGAGGCTAGAAAAGATTCAATTCCAGGGTCAGGAGCACAGCAGCCAGGGAGAATGCCAAAGGAGCCAGGGAGATTGCCAAAAGGAGAAGCCAAACGAGGGAGACCAAGGATGAGAAATCCCAATCACTAGCTCCTAGTGGAGGCTAGCCAAGATTCAATTCCATGGGTCAGGAGCACAGCAGCCAGGGAGAATGCCAAAAGGAGCCAGGGAGATTGCCAAAATGAGTGGAGGCTAGAAAAGATTCAATTCCAGGGGTCAGGAGTGCTCTGCTCAGATATAAAAATGAGGATGAGACTGTGGTCTAAGGTTCTGGCATGAGATCACGGGAAGGAAGGAACCATCCAATCTTGGAAATGATGATGCTGGTGGGTGGCTGGTGTTGATTGATGACAAGAGGATTCTGGCATGACATTAGGGAAGGAAGGAACCACCAAGAGCAGTGATCAGCACAGGGGACCGTCAAACACCAGCATTGCTCTGCTCAGATATAAAAATGAGGATGAGACTGTGGTCTAAGGTTCTGGCATGAGATCACGGGAAGGAAGGAACATCCAATCTTGGAAATGATGATGCTGGTGGGTTGGCTGGTGTTGATTGATGACAATGAGGATTCTGGCATGACATTATGGAAGGAAGGAACCACCAAGAGACAGTGATCAGCACAGGGGACATCAAAACCAGCATTGCTCTGCTCAGATATAAAATGAGGATGAGACTGTGGTCTAAGGTTCTGGCATGAGATCACGGGAGGAAGGAACCATCCAATCTTGGAAATGATGATGCTGGTGGGTTGGCTGTGTTGATTGATGACAATGAGGATTCTGGCATGACATTATGGGAAGGAAGGAACCACCAAGAGACAGTGATCAGCACAGGGGACCGTCCAAACAACCGCATTGCTCTGCTCAGATATAAAATGAGGATGAGACTGTGGTCTAAGGTTCTGGCATGAGATCACGGGAAGGAAGGAACCATCCAATCTTGGAAATGATGATGCTGGTGGGTTGGCTGGTGTTGATTGATGACAATGAGGATTCTGGCATGACATTATGGAAGGAAGGAACCACCAAGAGACAGTGATCAGCACAGGGGACCATCAAACAACCAGCATTGCTCTGCTCAGATATAAAAATGAGGATGAGACTGTGGTCTAAGGTTCTGGCATGAGATCACGGGAAGAAGGAACCATCCAATCTTGGAAATGATGATGCTGGTGGTTGGCTGGTGTTGATTGATGACAATGAGGATTCTGGCAGACATTATGGGAAGGAAGGAACCACCAAGAGACAGTGATCAGCACAGGGGACCATCAAACACCAGCATTGCTCTGTCAGATATAAAAATGAGGATGAGACTGTGGTCTAAGTTCTGGCATGAGATCACGGGAAGGAAGGAACCATCCAATCTTGGAAATGATGATGCTGGTGGTTGGCTGGTGTTGATTGATGACAATGAGGATTCTGGCATGACATTATGGGAAGGAAGGAACCACCAAGAGACAGTGATCAGCACAGGGGACCATCAAACAACCAGCATTGCTCTGCTCAGATATAAAAATGAGGATGAGACTGTGGTCTAAGGTTCTGGCATGAGATCACGGGAGAAGGAACCATCCAATCTTGGAAATGATGATGCTGGTGGGTTGGTGGTGTTGATTGATGACAATGAGGATTCTGGCATGACATTATGGGAAGGAAGGAACCACCAAGAGACAGTGATCAGCACAGGGGACCTCAAACACCAGCATTGCTCTGCTCAGATATAAAAATGAGGATGAGACTGTGGTCTAAGGTTCTGGCATGAGATACGGGAAGGAAGGAACATCCAATCTTGGAAATGTGATGCTGGTGGGTTGGCTGGTGTTGATTGATGACAATGAGGATTCTGGCATGACATTATGGGAAGGAAGGAACCACCAAGAGACAGTGATCAGCACAGGGGACCATCAAACAACCAGCATTGCTCTGCTCAGATATAAAAATGAGGATGAGACTGTGGTCTAAGGTTCTGGCATGAGATCACGGGAAGGAAGGACCACCAACTTGGAAATGATGATGCTGGTGGGTTGGCTGGTGTTGATTGATGACAATGAGGATTCTGGCATGACATTATGGGAAGGAAGGAACCACCAAGAGACAGTGATCAGCACAGGGGACCTCAAACAACCAGCATTGCTCGCTCAGATATAAAAATGAGGATGAGACTGTGGTCTAAGGTTCTGGCATGAGATCACGGGAAGGAAGGAACCATCCAATCTTGGAAATGATGATGCTGGTGGGTTGGCTGGTGTTGATTGATGACAATGAGGATTCTGGCATGACATTATGGGAAGGAAGGAACCACCAAGAGACAGTGATCAGCACAGGGGACCACAAAAACCAGCATTGCTTGCTCAGATATAAAAATGAGGATGAGACTGTGGTCTAAGGTTCTGGCATGAGTCACGGGAAGGAAGGAACCATCCAATCGAAATGATGATCTGGTGGGTTGGCTGGTGTTGATTGATGACAATGAGGATTCGGCATGACATTATGGGAAGGAAGGAACCACCAAGAAGACAGTGATCAGCACAGGGGACCGTCAAACGACCAGCATTGCTCTGCTCAGATATAAAAATGAGGATGAGACTGTGGTCTAAGGTTCTGGCATGAGATCACGGGAGGAAGGAACCATCCAATCTTGAAATGATGATGCTGGTGGTTGGCTGGTGTTGATTGATGACAATGAGGATTCTGGCATGACATTATGGGAAGGAAGGAACACCAAGAGACAGTGATCAGCACAGGGGACCGTCAAACGACCAGCATTGCTCTGCTCAGATATAAAAATGAGGATGAGACTGTGGTCTAAGTTCTGGCATGAGATCACGGAAGAAGGAACCATCCAATCTTGGAATGATGATGCTGGTGGGTTGGCTGGTGTGTTGATTGATGACAATGAGGATTCTGGCATGACATTATGGGAAGGAAGGAACCACCAGAGACAGTGATCAGCACAGGGGACCTCAAACGACCAGCATTGCTCTGCTCAGATATAAAAATGAGGATGAGACTGTGGTCTAAGGTTCTGGCATGAGATCACGGGAAGGAAGGAACCATCCAATCTTGGAAATGATGATGCTGGTGGGTTGGCTGGTGTTGATTGATGACAATGAGATTCTGGCATGACATTATGGGAAGGAAGGAACCACCAAGAGACAGTGATCAGCACAGGGGACCGTCAAACAACCAGCATTGCTCTGCTCAGATATAAAAATGGGAGAGACTGTGGTCTAAGGTTCTGGCATGAGATCACGGAAGAAGGAACCATCCAATCTTGGAAATGATGATGCTGGTGGGTTGGCTGGTGTTGATTGATGACAATGAGGATTCTGGCATGACATTATGGGAAGGAAGGAACCACCAAGAGACAGTGATCAGCACAGGGGACCGTCAAACGACCAGCATTGCTCTGCTCAGATATAAAAATGAGGATGAGACTGTGGTCTAAGGTTCTGGCATGAGATCACGGGAAGGAAGGAACCATCCAATCTTGGAAATGATGATGCTGGTGGGTTGGCTGGTGTTGATTGATGACAATGAGGATTCTGGCATGACATTATGCCACTTTGGTTCAGCGAAGCAACAGAGGAACACCCTTCCGAGTGCCCCCCAGCCCTTCCAACACGAATGCTGGCTCGTTAGAGCAAAGAACTACTAATGTCACAGGAACCACCAACAGTGAACTCCATTGGCTTGCTGGCAATCGGCTGAGAGGAGTTGTTTGGCGTTCGGAGGAGGATGCTGTCTTGGATTGGAAGGTTGGGAGCAGCGCAGGGGCACCATCAGATGGTCTACTTGCCTGGCATGCATGGTAGGAGGAGTATGGTAGGAGGAGTATGGTAGGAGGACGCTCGTCGGGAGGCGCCATGGTCGATGAATGAATGAATTGGTTGGTAGATTGATGACGACGAATAATGAGTCGGAGCTCCAAATTGGCAAAAAGTGCTGCGCCAGGAAAATAATGAGAGGAAAACTCATCTCGTCGTGAAACATTTGTTGGTCCAAAGGAAGGTTGTTTCATTTTTGGGAAGGTTTTGAAATCAAACTTTTTGAAACGCTTGGTTGTGATTGGCTCCTCGCATGATGATGCTCCTTGTTGTTTCCTTTCAGCGATAGGTTTTGAAATCAAACATAAGAAACGTCGCCATGGTATCAAGTTTCCCTCGAATGCGAATAGATTTTGAAATCAAACATGAGAAACGTCGCCATGATCAAGTTTAGAATCTTCGAAGGATGCGAATAGCTTTTGAAATCAAAACAATAAGAAACGTCGCCATGGTCAAGTTTGGAATTGGGCTCGTCATCGCATCGTTTCGAAGATTAATCGTTTCGTTTTTCAAAATAATGGATGTTCGGTTGCTTCCATATTTAATTTAATTTCAGAATCAAAATCATGGGCGGTACGAGATGGTGGATTGTCGCGGCGTTGGTGCGTTGGTTGTGCTTCCAAGTTGGCGTCGCTTGAGATAATAATGCCTCCACTCCATCCCAGTCATCCATCGGCAGCTCGAGATACGGTACCCGCGGGGGTATACTTGGTCTTCCTGCTACCCTCCCGTTGATCGCATCGAGATTTTTTGCTTGCTCGCCTAATAAGGACCGTTCTGTTGGATAACTACCGTATCATAGTCTGTTGGAGTAGAGTAACAACCTGTCTGATTTTTGGCCTTTGGAAGGGATGCGAGAGTATCATGGCGAAGGGATCGACGAATGAGGCGACAACAAGATCTTGTATCTTGTTATCTTGTTGCGAAGGTTGAGAAGGATCTTCCGAGCTTCCGAGAACTGGCCGTTGGAATTGGACGTGTCACTAGATCCACTGGGGTTAGGGTTAGCTTCCAATGGCCACAGACGATCCGAAGGCAAAATCTTTCTCGATCCAGCCAGAGCCTCCATCATCTATCTGTTGCCCATTAGTCATCAGGAGCCACAACAAGCATCAAGCAATACTGTACAGTAGACATCAAGATGTTACAATCCATGCGGTTAGTGTCCTCTGCGGCAGTCCGATCTAGTAGGAGAGTCGTTGTAGAAGGCAAAATCCCTTTAAAACTGAGTAGCAGAGCGACTCGATCACAGCAGCTGATTCGACAACGATGGTTCAGCAGTGAAGCTCCTTCAACAGCTTCAGCTTCGACTTGGTACACGTGGGGCACCGACCACAAGGGATCCCTCCTCCAACCCGACCAACCCAAATTGGACACTCCTGCTGTTGCAACAGTGATAGATCTCCCAAATGCTGATAGTATTACACAAATTGTCTGCGGTGCTACCGACACGGCCATAGTGCTCGAAAATGGCGATTGCTACGTGTGTGGTGAAAACAAGAGTGGTCAACTAGGTGTTGGTCATCGCCATCCCGTCGAATCACCTACGCTACTCGAAATGCCACTCGACCAAACGGGACAACCCGCCCAAGTGGCACAAATTGCTCTAGGCAGTACTTTTTCGGCCATTATTGATACCCACGGTGACTTGTATACATTTGGGTATGGTGGTTCCACATTGGGCGATGGATTGGGATTTTTAGGCCATGGTTATCCGGACAATGAAGCCTACGCTCTGACACCCAAATTGGTCGAATCCCTCGTCGAAGATGGCTGTTTTGCGAAAAAGGTTCAAGTAGGAAAATCGCACATGACGGTACTGACAACGGAAGGAGAAGTATTGACATGTGGTGCCGGTTCCTACGGACGCCTGGGCAATCTGGAAACCCATCAAGATCAATTATATTTGGAGGCGGTCGAAATGCTCCGCAGTGGTGTCACCGATATCAGTGGCGGCAAATCCTTCACGGCGGCACTCAAAGACGACGGCGTCATTTATACCTGGGGCCGTGGCGATAAAGGACAACTCGGGACGGGATTTGGATTGGCCGTCGACATGTACGCCATGGCGGCCGTTCCAGAACCCATTGAAGCCGATGAATTGCTCGGTCGGAAAGTTATTCAAATTGCCGCTGGATGCGAACATGCCGTGTGTATTACAGAAGGCGGAGAAGTCTTTCAATGGGGCATGACACTGCATCTCGAACCGGTGCGTGTCAGCGAATTGCTGCATACCAAAATTGTACAAGTCGCGGCGGGCGACAATTATTCCATCGCGTTGGATGAACATGGACAACTCTATACGTGGGGACAGGGCAAGACTGGTGTCCTAGCGCAAGGTGGTGTCACCAAATTGAATCAAGCGGCACTCGTGGAAGCACTCGAAGACAAGAAGGTGATATCCAATATAAGTGCGGGATGGCAACATGTCGCGTGTCAAACAACAGATACAACAACAAAAGATAAATAGTAATAATAACGCAAGCAACAATAACCAAATCAAAGTCAAGCATAATCAAATCAACCATAGGCATGTCTTGTTCGAATTGGCACGAAGGAATGAAAAAAGTGGTTGTGGCAGGAGGGACAAGAACGCAACAGAGCTCGACCGGTCGATTCGAGTCTTTTGTCATTCACTACCGTAGCCAGCAGTCGTTTGTTCTAATGGTGGCTATGGGCTGCTTACGATCATCATGGCTGCTGGACGACTATAATACGAAAGGATGCATGCGTTTGTTAGGCGGAGAGACTACTAGCTAGTGTTTCGATGACGTCGCCTTGCTCCACCTGATTATTCGTTGGTTCGAGGCATGCACTCCTTGCTACTAGCTAGTAGTAGCCACAATCGTGCAATGACAAAAGGAAGGCGACAAGCGTGACAGGCACGGACCGTCGTTGTGCTGGGACCGTAGGTCGCGGAGACGGCGGGGAAACACCAAGCCTTTGCTTCCAAAGCCGACGGCAGCACCATTGGCGGCAAAGTAGAATGCCACTGCAGCGGGCGGTCCACTACACAGGTTTTGGGCTCTGTCGTGGCACCGGCATCATGCATCATACATACGTGCCGAGACTTCATCATCATTTTACGAATACGCTGCTGTACTTAGTCAAGCCTCTTGTTTCCAAGCTGTCGGTTCACGTACAGGAAGTGATGTCTTGGGGGGCTTGCTCATGGTAGGATTAGGTCCAAGAAAGTCCATTGCCATCTTCTCGTCCTCGACTGTGATAACTTACTTCTTCGTCAAGGTTTTCCATCTCACGTGCAGTGGAAGACAACAATGGGAATCCAGACAAGGAACTCCAGCTTGCCATCACGAAAGACGCTGGAAGCAATGTCTTCTCGTGTACCTTGCTTTGGATCAGTCGCCGTGTACTTTGTGTGCCCGCCTCGTTGCTTACCAGCAAAGCGCCCACGTTTACGTTGTTCCGTCAATGGCACAGACGCAGACAAGTTTCTTCTTCTCTTCATTGCTCTCGCAGTCACAAAATGCAGAGATGTGAGTAGCTTCTGCTCTTAGCTGCACGTTTGCTTTGTACGGTACCAGCACAACCTACATCAATGCATGCTGCTACACGCACTTGAGATCCCTACTAGCTAGACAGCCGTTTGTTGGGACTAGCTCGTGCTCTGAGGCATTGCAACCGCCTTGGTACCCTCTTCCTGGGTTTTCCCTTGGAGAAAGCAGAAAGCGTTCAAATCGGTTGCTGGAAGCAGAAAACTAACTTTCCCATTTGTCCCCATGTTTCAGAGCTTTAGTAGAAAATGCTGGAATACGTCTTGCCTGGGAGGCAAAGGGAGCCAGCTACACGTCCGTTTCCTTCAAGCTTGCTTGTCCCGTCCCAAAGCAGACAGCGCAGCTCCAAATCATTGATCCCCACGATCCCATTGGATCTCTTTTTCAGAGCAAATAAGTCGCAGAGGGGCACCGAGAGCTCAGTTGTGGAATGCTGCAAGCTACTAGCAACGAATCGCAGCCTCGCGGGGTTGACCCTTGCACTGGATTAAGAATGCCCCTACTAGCTAGCTCCAGCTAGGAAACCAGCGAATATACTTCATTGGAACCGGTATTCCTGGCCATCATTATTTCGGACTTCGTGGTCTCCCCTGTCTGTACCTGCAACCTGCAACCTGCAACCTGTAACCTGCAACCTGCAACAGTATCTGAACTACCCGAACAGAAATCAAATGACTTTTTTGGTGTCGTCGTTGAGATTTTAGATCTACGGCACCCGTGACCGGTGGCATTAGGTTTCAGCAAGCTCTGTCATCTTGGAAAGAAGAGCAAGTGGGCAGGTGTCATCAGAATCTGTTGCTGTTACTGGTGCAAGAAGCAGCATCAAGGAAAAAAGCAACTCAGGTAGATGCGGTAAACTCAAGTGTACTTCAATAATACTAAAGATTAATTGCCTCAACTACCCATTTAAAGCTGTCTTCTGTGCAACTTTGGCAGCTGCTTCTGCAAGTTCTGAAGTTTGGCATCGCGCGAAAGCCTTCGGGAGAACCCTCTGTAGCACTCAGTACAACCGGTACGATCCGCTGATGCCAAAGCAAGATCCTTCCTCTTTCCTTTTATGCATGTTTCGGCCATCATCCATCGCGTTTGGCATGCAGTTGAGAGTCGAGAACCCCTCACCGACCACAAATCAACCACACATCACCATCCAGCTTTCAGCTTTTGCTTTAGTCTTTGTTCGCAGATCTTTTTATGATGATGAAGCTCTTCTCCTTTGCCCTCAGCTTGCTCCTTCTTGTGGTGTCTCCCACCTCAGCTTTCCTCCGCCGACGTGTCTCGGTGGAGGATGGGGGCGCACCGTATTACCAATGTTGCTCCAACGTCAACAACAATTGCTTCTCTGGTGAAACGAAGGTCACCACAAGTGATGGGGAACAGATTGCCATGAAAGACTTGCACGTGGGAGACAAGATCTTGGTCGATGGCGACAACTACCAACCGGTCTATGCCTTTGCCCATCGCGACATCGACAAGGAGGTGGAGTTTCTTCAGATTCATGCTGGTACCAGTACAGACACCATCTTGGAAGTCACCAAGGATCACTACATCTTTCGCAGAGGCGAGCCCGTTGCAGCCGGAGATCTCCAGGTGGGAGATGTCCTGGCTCCCGACATGACCATCACCAAGATTGACACTGTGACCCGTCAAGGCATCTACGCTCCATTGACCCAAGATGGAGTCTTTACGGTCGGTGGCTCCTTCCAGGTGTCCTCCTATGTCCAGTTGCCCATCCTAACATCCCCGTGGCTGGTCCATGTCGTCCTGTCTCCATTCCGTGTGGCTTGTTTGGGAGGCATCATCACCAGTCCAGATGACGACAGTGACAGTGACATGCCACTGTACGTTCACTTTGGTCTCATCTTGGAAGCAGCCCTACCCAAGGTCATGCAGTGGTTGCTGTTGGGCCTGGTGTTGGTGGTGACGGGAACCATCTATGGTATGGAATGCTTGGTCGGTCCAGCGCTGGTTCTTCCATTCACGTTGGTGGTGGCAGTGGTAGTGTTCCTCATCAAACGCAGCCAGAAAGCAGCCAAAGGCGTCTAGATGATGGGTGGGTTGATTCGATTCATTTTTGTGACGGTGACACGGCGCTTTCAAAGGCATTGGTTCCGTGCACGATACGAATACATGTAAAAGTAAATATTAGTAAACTATCCATCAATATCATTTGCAGTACCTCTGCTGCGTGTAGGACGTTGTCTTCCTTGCTTGTCTGCCTGGAGTTCGGTTGGTTCTGCTCAAACATTCGCTACTAGCTAGAGCACATTCCCGCCTTTCCAACCGAACAGAACGTCGTTCGCAAGGGCCAACCTTCCACTGTGTGTGTGTGTATGTACGAGGATACACCCCTTCGCGAGTCTATTGCAAGGAACGAGGAACTACACTCTCTTTCCTCCAACATTGAGGTTTCACTTGCGTGGTTTCCTTTCCTCCGTCTTGTATTCTCTGCGAGGGTGATGTAGCTATGCAGCACTCTTTTCTTTGCGGGAGCCTGGCTGGGAACAACACTTACTTGAATAAACAGTCGAGCGAGTCTACGGTTCTTGGCTGCGAGTTTGGCCATTGCCACTTTCAAACTTTGTTAACCTGCCTGGGAGTTGCGCTTAGTAGCTACCAGTCAAGCAATGCTGGTTCAATTGATTGCTTTTCTATCAATAAAGGCCCAAGGTTTCATCTATCTATTGAGCCGTACGGTATCGCACAACTAGCTACGGTAGCTAAAGAAAGGAAACAAACTGGCCCTTGGTGCCAAGCTCACTCTTGCGAGGCAGTAGACTTCGTGTGAGGGGAAGCAAAGCTTGCCCCCTAGTTGCAACACGGATGGATCGGCGAAGCCAAAGAGAGACTATGATGGGAGTACATGCAAGGAAAAGGATACAGTGCTGCTACCGGTTACGATAGGTCCATGCTCCGTGGCAACTCCTCCAACTCTGCTTCGTCATCACATTCATGGTCTCCGCACTTTGTTTCTGCACGAATGAAGGAGAAAGGAATTGGGGCGCGCAGAAGGACTAATAACTACTAGGTGGTTGAAACCATCCAACGCAGCCATTGGAGGGAGCCTATCTACAGATGATTGAATTCAATCACCGTTGGGTTGGAGATTGATAAAGGAGTTGTTTAATGATGGTTACTTGGTTATAGGAGTCCCGACTAAGCATGCAGTGGAGAGACAACCCAGAAAATCGATGGAAGTGTGGCTGAGCCCATGAACCAGTGACACAGTGACAGAGTACAGCTACTGAAGGGAGGAGAAGGAAAGGAGGGAGGAGGCAATGTGTACCGTAGTCGTACGCGAATCGAATCGAATCAAATCAAATCCCCCCCCTGGGATACAAAGAGGTGTTGAGTGCAGCAGTGTACATTGGGCATTTTTTTATTTGCCTATCTAGCTAGAATGTGCCATAATTGAAGGCAGAAGGAGTACACTGTACTCGGCAGGACCAGGCGAGTACGTACACTGGCAGGTACCGTTACCTGCAGACCAAGAGACAAAAGCTTCAAGACCCCAACTAGACGGCGAAAAAAATCCAGATCCTGAATTCTCATCCTGTGTACAATGGCTATCGTGTCTACTGTACTAAGTCAACTTATGAAACTTGGCCTCGTGCCTGCAGGCACACAAGATTTCGTTGCATGAATTGATGACGAGTTGTGGGATTTTCTCTTGAGGCGGTGACATTCGAAGAATCTCAATGGCGGCCTCCGCAGATACGCAGGGAAATATATAGTTGCTACAATCATTTTCTTTTCAGAGTGAACGACTTTTCATTCTTGTAGCGCAGTTCCAGGCTATGCAGGAACCTGCTCATGAACCTTGCATTGGCGACTTCCACCGTCGGAGTCAAGAAAACCTTACTCAAGCGCCCCGATTCACTAATGCACCCCACTTCAAACTGATCCCTCAAGGCAATGGGCATGAATTTCTTGGCCATGCTGGTCAGCATGTTTACGAATACTCCCGTGTGATAATATCGAATCTTGTGGTGATTGATTGGGTAGACACCTGCTATATCGGACCAATACGAACGAGTGACTTCCAATCCAAAATTCTTTTTCCACTCAAAACCCATGCACTCAATGATCAATGCCATCCCTCGACGAATGGCCTCCATGTCTGAACACAAGGCATGATTGAGGTAGTAGATTGCCTGGAACCAAGTCTTGTAGCCTCTGGGCTGGTTTTTGATGACCGACCCGTGCATTCTGGAGATATCAAAGACGAGAGTATAATTCCCGCCAGCACTGTTGTAACCAAAGGAGAGGTAGAATTCGGGAAAGAGTTCCATGAATGCAGCAACCGACCGCTGGCCTTGTGCCACCGTGTCCTGAATGTCATACTCTTCCCGAAAGAGCTGCATATGATGAATCCGTTCCATGGCATTCGCCATATCACCCTTGTCCACCAAGGCCACCTGAGCATACCAGTAGTCTGAAACTTTGTCCAGGTTCCCTGTTCCTTCCTCCTCTATCAGCTCCTTAATGGTACGCGCACAAAGATGTTCTTCTGGAGTCAAATCCATTCGTCTGGGATCGTCCAAACTCAGAGGTGTGGAGGGCCATTCCCCAGTTTGTGCATTATCGTGCAAACTCGCCTCTAGTTCGTCCTCGGCGAGGTCGTCTTCTGCGGCTTGCAGCACATTTGCACCGACAATCGGTACGGGTTGAGCGTCCGCCACCATGGTGGTTCTGGGTGGCTATATCTGATAGCTGGTTATGCAAGTATAGATGCAGTGGGAGTGTGGAGATGGTGCTTATTAATTTTATTTGCGAGTGGCTGCTCGCTGCGACCGCTGTCGCAACGTCGCAACGCCCCTCCAGTTTTAAAGTTGCCGGGTCTCGTTTCCGAACTCTTGCTTTCGGCCTTTAGGGTCTTTCACGCAACCGGTGACCTCTTTTGAAGGCCACACTTAATTAATATAATGTTACCTTGCTGTACCGGTACAGGTCAACAGAAAACAGAAATGGAGCAGACAAATTGCATTCATGACCAGAATTCTTCATCAATCGTGCATGTTATGGTACCGGTACTAACGGTAGTCGGTAGCCGGTAGCCGGTAGACTAACTTGAACTTTGAAAGGAGTGGGGTTAAACGGTTGAACCCAAACCTCATTTCCTGGGAGTAGTCTATGTACATTATTTACTATTCTAACCAAACGGAGAACATATTTCTAAATCCTGGGTCATTCATTTCCGCAGACTGTTTACACCCCTTAATTAAGGCACCCTAGGCCTGGGGGCTTGAAGCCTTGCGGTACAGTCAGGCCTCTGGTTGAATCAATCGAATCGAATGATTCGATTCAATCGAATGTGCAATCATTCCAATCCGCGGACCGTGGATGAGCTTCGTACCGTACTCGTAGCTCGTACCATACTCGTACAGTAGCTCTTCATTTCTTATTCGGATGAGTGTAAGGGCGAAGAACAATTCAGGACGAAGAAGCGTTTCGCACTGAGTGACAGTCGAGTGGAGTCGAGTGACTCAGTCAAGTCGCTATGGGATGTGGGCTGCTTTGGCTTGCCCAAGCCTCCCCACCTTGGGCCGTCAAGGACCCTTGAGGGTAGCTGGTCTATAACCACGGGCGGAAACGCCGTCAACGAGGACACCCATATCGAGAGCTTCGTCAGAGTTTCTAACTTCTCACATTGTGACCTCTCGAGGCGCCCCCTTCGCCCACAAATACAGTCTCTGACGACCGAACCCAGACAGCGTCAATAGCTTTCCTCGTTGCCCTGCGCGACGCCAGGGAAAACTCATCATTTTCGGCATGCACGATCGAGCTAGAACTGTTGATTGATAAGACACCCCGCACTCGAGCTAGACCTGTTGATTGATAAGACATACATGTGAAGCCCTCACTTTGACCGGCACGTGGTCACGAGGGCAAACGTTTCGTCAATGCAGGTAGGAGCCGGTACCGGTAGACTGTGAGACCTTGGCGCCAAAAGGGCGAATGCAGCTCTACTCGTACTCTACTAGTCTACTGCAATCGAGTCACTCGAGTCTTGAAATGATTGAATGATCGTAATAGCCACCAGTGTAATAGAATTCTATTTTAAGGCTACTCTGAGTATGACTTGTCCACCGTGCCGCTACCCTAAACCTATAACCCCCACAAACATTGGCGTTGTCCCCCTCAGCCAGGAAAGTTTAAAACCCAACGGAGGCAAGTCCAGTCACTCGAGTCTTAAAATGATTGAATGATGATCGATGATGATGAGCACTACCGGTACTAGTCTACTGGTACCTGGTAGTTAGCTACTAGTAGCTAGCTAGCTAGCTAGCTAGTAGCTAGTAGTACGATAGAATGATTCGTTGGAACAGATCCAATCACTTCAGCAAACTGGCACCAGAGCGGCACGTTCCGGGCTTTTATTAAAAGGGTAGTCGACCTTTAAACTATGGTAGGGTAAAAGATTGTACTCAACTCTAAAAGGTTCAAAGCTAAATTTATTTAACCTCATGTATACTAGCTAGCTAGTAATATTATTCCAAAGTTGCTTTGCTTACGTATGAAGCAGATTTGCGGCCAGTACCAGCCAGATTGTCTCAGGAGGAAAGTTAGCAACAACAACAACAACCACAACAAAGGAAAAAGGAAGTGAAGACGTCAGCAATTCTCAGATTGCACCGCCAAGACAACAGAGAGATAGAAAGCAAACTGATTGTTTGAGTGGAAGATGGGCGCCTGTACTGAATGCCGTTTGGCTAAGGTCAAGTGTGAGCAGAGTTTCCCATGTGGACGATGTCAGCGTTTGGGCAAGAACTGCATTCCTCATGAATCAAGACAAGGACAGAATCCTTCACGGCGCAAACGGCAGCGAACCGACCCCAAAGTGACAGGAGATGTTCGGTTGGAACGTATGTTGATCACAGAGGCCCGGAAGGATCACTATGCATTGAAGCACATTGTGCGGCAATGGATCGCCTTGTCCATCAAGCGCCGCTCCTTCAAACTGTGGGCCCGTGCCGGTAATTTGGCCGAGGCCTGTGGAGTTTCCATGGACGAGATTCTGAGTGACAAGAATGAAGAACATCGCTCCATGGATTTCATCCACCGCATGATCACCTCTCCAACCGAAGACCAGTTGGTCATTGGCAAACAGCCCTTGAAACCAAACGATGTTCCGGATATTCTCTGGAAAGCCGTAGGTAGGCCCACTGATGAACACATGGAACAAGCACTCAACTCACGTTGGATTATCGTCCGAGAAGTCATCCAGGGCACCATTCGATTCTATATCTCGCCTGGATTTGTCCAAACCATTGGCGTCTCCCGGTCAACCCTTGAAGCCACCTTTCGCGCCAACCAAATGGATGTTGCCAATTTGTTGTATCCCCAACACGCCATGAATAATCAACAACAGGATTACATGACTAGCCTTGCACAGCAATTGGCACTCCACAGCAAACCAGGCATTCCACCCAAACCCTCCAGAATACCCAATGTCAAGATTCTGGTCGGCAAAGACAAGCAGGAAAAGGTGGTCGATCAGCTAGTGTGCCTTCACATTCAACGCATGGATGTCTCATTTGTATTGTTTGAGTTTGTGGATCCTAATGCCAAAAAGGTGGCCACAAATGACCAGGAAAAGGATGAGATCAATCTCGATAGTTTCTATCTTGATCTTGATTCTGTTGAAGGAGGTATTGACGATTTCAAAATGATATGTGATCTTCTCAAGGACAGCTAGCTTGCTTTGGCTTGCTTTGGCTTGCAAAGCCTCAGTGCCTGTCGCTGTCATGCACTTGACGACCTTTGGGGGCAGCTCTGCTAGAACCACGGTGGAAACCCCGCCAACGAGGACACGTGGACGACCACGTCCTCAGAGTTATTAAAACTCCTCAGCATTGTGAAATTGTGACCTCTCAGGGCGTCCCTTCCACCAAAAAGGGCCGAAGCCTAATTGTCGCTACAAGCCCTTCTGGAAGGAGAAGGCCTACCAGTTGCTTTTCCTCGTTTAGCAAGGTGGATGGAAAGGACGGCCTATTTTGTCTTCTTCGTGGTGGCCAAAACACGAGGAACTTGGTTTGATTCGGTGGCCTCCCAAGTTCTTGGTGGGAGACTTCGATCGGATCCTGTTTAATGCCAGCAGTGGGCCGAGGGGGCGAGTAGACAAGACTTGGGCAAGGCAAGGGGTACAACCACGGAACCGTTCCTTGGGGAGATGGAAGGGACATGTCGAGAAATCCACTTCACAAGTTGCTCGTCACGGTTTGCCATCATCGCTACTCTAATCGCCCGTTTTCGAACTCCCCTTGATGTGAGCGATACGTCCTAGCCTCCTCGGATCGAATGAAATCGAATTCACCAATCGCTCCGGAGGCAGCTTCACTGCGGCAGTTCTACGGGCTACTAGCTAGTTAGATAGGAGTGTGATGGTCTCTACAGTATATTATTTGCCTAATATTGCAGGTTCTTGGCCACTTGAACCACAGGTGAACGCGGTGGTTTAGGTTCAGTTTGGTTCAGATTGCCATTTTAAAACGAGGAGTTTCGCCCAACTTTTTACCATTCCCTCCAATGACTTCTTGACAAATCAATTCTCGCAGCATCTAACTTCTAAAGGTACCAGGTACCAGGTACGTAAAACATTTAAGAAGCCAAATCAGAGACCAGTCCGAAATCCAGTTACCTTCCAAGGTACCGGTGCCTGTCCCAACAGCAATGGGCTTGCTCCACAACGAAACACATTGAACCTCCCTCTCTAGTCTACATGTCTACATGCGTATGGGTAGCTAGCTACTGGACTAGCTAACATAGTCCTACTACCGGTGCCATGGTAGCTACTAGCTAGCAAGAGCAGCGGTACTAGTACTGGTCTAATACCACGTCAGCATCCGCGGTACTGGCAGCGTACCGTACCGCTCCATCCCAGCTGAACTGGCACCACTCCTGGCTTCGGAAGGGTAAAGGGTAGTTGATGTAAATATGGGGTTAAAGACGTACGGTATGCTAGTAGCGGAGTGCAAAATCATTTTACCAGAACTACCTGACATGCTGTCTTTTGCGACGAGAAGACTACACCCACTAATGTTGTCAGGGGAGGTAATTTCATAACAACAACAAACCAAGTGAAGAGATCTGCAAGACTCAGATTGCACCGCCAAGACAACAGAGAGATAGAAAGCAAACTGATTGTTTGAGTGGAAGATGGGTGCCTGTACTGAATGCCGTTTGGCTAAGGTCAAGTGTGAGCAGAGTTTCCCATGTGGACGATGTCAGCGTTTGGGCAAGAACTGCATTCCTCATGAATCAAGACAAGGACAGAATCCTTCACGGCGCAAACGACAGCGAACCGACCCCAAAGTTCCCGCTGTGCCAGGAATTGTTCGATTGGAAGGTATGCTGATCACAGAGTCCCGAAAGGATCACTATGCATTGAAGCACATTGTGCGGCAATGGATCGCCTTGTCCATCAAGCGCCGCTCCTTCAAACTGTGGGCCCGTGCCGGTAATTTGGCCGAGGCCTGTGGAGTTTCCATGGACGAGATTCTGAGTGACAAGAATGAAGAACATCGCTCCATGGATTTCATCCACCGCATGATCACCTCTCCAACCGAAGACCAGTTGATCATTGGCAAACAGCCCATGAAACCCAACGATGTTCCGGATATTCTCTGGAAAGCCGTCGGTATGCCCACTGATGAACGCATGGAACAAGCACTCAACTCACGTTGGATTATCGTCCGAGAAGTCATCCAGGGCACCATTCGATTCTATGTCTCGCCTGGGTTTGTCCAAACCATTGGAGTCTCCCAGTCAACCATGGAAGCCACCTTTCGTGCCAACCAAATGGAAGTTTCCAGTTTGTTTTATCCCCAACACACCAAGAATAATCAAGGAAAGGATTACATGGCCGCTTTTGTACAACAATTGGCACTCCACAGCAAACCAGGCATTCCACCCAAACCCTCCAAAACACCCAATGTCAAGATTCTGGTCGGCAAAGACAAGCAGGAAAAGGTAGTGGATCAACTACTCTGTATTTACATTCAGCACATGGACATCTCCTTTTCCTTGTTTGAGTTCATGGATCCCAATGCCCAAAAAGTAACCACCATGAATGACCAGCAAACGGATTTGAACCATCTTGATGATTTCTATCTCGATCTTGATTCTGTTGACGGAGGTATTGACGATTTCAAAATGATATGTGATCTATTCAAGAGCAGCTAGCTTGTCGGGCTTTATTCTGGCTACGCACGGTACTCACTGAATGTACAGTCCTTGTGGTATTGTGGTGACGCCAATGGGTAGAGAGGAAAATTAATTTCCACAGCAAGGTGGGACGATTTGAATGTGGGGCTGTGGAGACTTGAAGGTGGTGGCAATGGTTTCTACGAACGAACGAACGGACGAACGGCCCTGCAGGATGGATAGTGACATTTTTTTATTTGATAGAAACAAGTACAGGTACATTTTAACGGGAGGATGGAGCAGTCGTTTCTGTAACAGAGTACGCTGTAGTCGGAACAATGGAACAAACACGCACAACAGTAAAGACAACGCTGCACTTAGTTCTATATAAACCAGTCTCCGCTGGCATCATGCTAGTCAAAGGATTATGGATGCTATTAGAGACGACAGTCGAATGTTCGATATACTTTTGTAGCCGTGGCGGTCGCAGTGTTTCTTCTCTAGACTCTTGTTGAAAACGTCATTGAGAAAAAGTACCAAAGTTGATCATGACGCGGCAAAGTTCTGCCGTACCTTGTGTTTTTCTATTTATTTGTTTGCTGCTTCCGATGGAATTTTCATCAGAGTTGTTTGCTTGGTGGCGGTTCTTTCTCTTGAGGTGGCTCTGGATGCACATCACGATTGCTGTTGACGGGTCGGCACCAAAGATACGTCAATACTATGAGCAAAAGGCAGCCAGCACCCAAAAAGACCGAAGCTGCTATTTGTATGTCCGCCAAGGCATCCGATGTAGCCACTGAGAACTTGCTTTCGCAGGTTTCACAGTTTCCAAACGCATTAATGTGGGGCCAGTCGACATCCTGCGATGGTCCCATGTAGGGATTGTAGGCTGTGTAGGTGGCATTCAAGTCAAACACTTGCTTGTGCTGGACGCAGGCTTCCACCTGATTCAAAGCTTCGTATTTTTCGGTATCAAAACAAACGCGTCGTTGACATATTCGTACCGAACACCCCACAACGTCGACCGACGACTGACATTGCCCGGGTCTACCATCCGGGGACATCATACCGGGACACGCCCACTCGTATCCCCAGTTCAAGTCATACACGGCATCGTAGTACGTTTTGTAATGTTTCCTCCCACCTCGTATTGTGCTCGAAATGCGCTCTTGGTATCGGACTCCGGTAACCCTCATGGGTCCCAGATAGTCCATTTTGTCTCGATCCATGAGCATAATGGCATAAATGAAATAGAGTAGCATGGATACTAAAAGGGATGTGAGTGCTATCATGAGCGCCCTTAGTCCGTTCTTGGGCACGACACATTCGTCTTCATCATGGTTCCTATATCGTATACAAGTGGAGAGTAGCGAAAAGAGAATAATCGCAGTCCCGAGACTGGACAAGACGAAAGCCGCTGTTGGATTGATGGTGGATCCATGCTCTTTGAGAACGTTTTCACTGGCGACTACCGTTGCCTCCATGGTTGATTGCATTGTTGTTTTTCTTCTTGGGCTTTTGTTTCTTTTAAAGTTATTAGTAGCGATAGTCAAGCTACATGATGATAGAGTGCTGGCCGAAATTGTTTCGCCCAGGTTGCCCCACAAGCAAAGGTTGGCAAGTCCTCCGAGATAGAGCTACTGTATCAATGCAATGCAATGCAACTGGCAAGGATTCGAAAGTATCCATGACTGGGTGCCGGCCAAAAAATGAGATATCTGGCGGTATTCAATGGCTTAACTGCATCCAACCTGGCAAAACAGCAGAGACCGAGCGACAGTCTCCATTCCTGGTCCTTAACTCTAATTTTGTTCCTAACCCTACTCAGACGTGGTTTCGCGGCACACTGGCTTTGGATCCTTTTCGACCCCCTTCGAAGGCGACCAAGCAACCCAATCAGACAGCCGACAGCAGCACCCACCAAGTGGCAACAAAGACAAAAGACAATCAACCACCACCAAAGCGAAACGCTAAGCAACAGTTCCATCCATCTAGCTAAGCACCATGCCCGTCGCTGCTCCAGCGGACAACGTTCAGAATGCGGGCGAACCAACGGGTCCCGATGTACGTACAATGAATGAACGAATCGAGGAGAGGATGGAACGAAGATGCGGGCTGATGTTTCTTTTTTCTGTTGTTTCTATACTATTTGTTAATTACAGGCCTGGTTCAACTCTTTGCCCATAATTACGCGAGCCTGGTTTGGCATTACACTGGTGTTGACGCTGGTGGGTAATTTTGGCATTCTGAGTCCTTATTATTACCTTTGGAATTGGGACAAGATGGTGGGCAAATTCGAAGTGTGGCGCGTCTTGACTAGTTTCTGCTACGCCGGTGGATTCGATTTCAATACCCTCATTGCCATGTACACGCTCGTTACATTCTCCAAAAATTACGAGACCGGTGGGCCCTTCAATACTGGTGCAGGAGGTGAGTCACAACACATATGAAACAAAACAAACGAATGAGTGATGATGTTTTTATTGTCTTTTTTGTTTTTCTAATTTTCTATTCCATTTCGATCTTACTATTCTTTGTTTATAGGCGGCACTGCCGATTACGCATTTGCCATGCTCTTTGGCGCCGCTGCTATTTTGGGCACATACCCGTTATTGTTGAGTTATCTTCCTCCTCTGTTTTGTCGCAACATGATTTATTTTGTGCTTTACATTTGGAGTCGACGACATCCGACATCGCAAGCCAACATTTGGGGCATTCCCATGAAAGCCATTTACTTGCCCTTTGCCTATTTGGCACTCACGATTTTCATGGGAAATCCCTATTTTGATCAATTGCACGGAATGGTCATTGGCCACTTGTTTTATTTTCTAGCAGAAGTTGTGCCGCAAGTGTATGGAAAAGATTTGCTGCGCACGCCCTTGTTCCTGATTGATTACTTTGGGGTGGGAAACTACATACCGGCAGCACCTACCAATAATCAAGGACGCAATAATCCATGGGCCAATCCACCGCCCGCAGCCAATAATGAACCAAGACGAGGAGGAGGATATAATTGGGGTGGTGGTGGACGGGCACTTGGAAGAGATTGAAGGAATTTAACAACAATTATGCAACAAGACGAAAAGGGTGTCCCGATATTCCACGGAATGGACCAACAACAAGACAAACAAAAAGAACGACAATAACTTACATAGATAGGTACTGTAGTACGTACTGGAAGCCCAAAAGGCAACAACTCAACCTACTCGATTATTTCCAAGAACAACAAGTGTGTTCGAATCGACTCGACTCGATTGACGCCTCCCAATAAACGACTAAATGAAATTTGTGGTCGCTACAGCGGTGGCTATTGAAGTACGGTCTGTCGGGATTTGCCTCGACGCTCGAAAATGACGGAGAATTCATTTCGTGGGGTCCATGGAATAATGTCCGCCAAGCAGTCGTGTCGTCACGAAATTTGCCAGGCCTGGCTTCCTGTCCCAAACTGACACGCACCACTTTCAACCATCCTCCGTTTCCAAACTAGCTAGGTCGTACGGTGTATGTATGTCCACCTTTGTTCGTCTCGTCGTTCGTACCCAGGGGACACCTTTGAGCCGCTAGCCAGGTGGCTACCGTAAAGAGAAAGGCAACAGTGAGGGGATACGTTGTTCCTGGCTCACAAAAGGGACATTCGAGCAAGTCCAACAACCCACTGGGCAGCCACAACACGTATCCCATGCATTTGCAAGAGCATACATTTTGCCAAAGCCTCGTGACTCTCCCTGCTAGCTGAAAGGGTACGCTGCAACCGGTATTGCCTTGCCGCGACGCAACGCTGGGCTACATTACTAGCCACAAACTGAATGTGTCATTCAAGTCCAGCTTGGCTGGAGGTGCCCAAAAGGCTGCAGCTCCCTTCTAAGAGGCAACTCATGGGAGGACATTTGGCACGCGCAAATTCTGCTGTAGCCCGTCACCTTGAATCCTGCCAGAACGAGTTCCTGGTATTGGTACTAGCTAGAGGAGGCATGAATGTCCAAGGAATCTTCGGGACTCGACTCTCACCAAGAAGGCCAGCCTTGCTTGTCGCTCGTTTTGTTTACGAAGATGGCAAGGGCATCAAATATTACAGCGGCCCATGGATGTTGGTTGTCTCAGCAGCCGTTGACCTTACAGGTGAGCAATTTGTGTTCCTCTGATAGTTCTACCGGTACGTGTTCTACCCATGGGTCCGTACTAGTACCGTAGTACAGTTAGAGCGAGGTCTCTAGAAATCCACTTTGATGTGATGGCTGGAGGCAGGTGCCAGAGTTCATTAGTTGTGCCCCTGATTCGATTCCACGGAACCTATGCAAGTCCCTCTTGTTGCCTAAGCCTGGCCCCCGCCCTCTAGCTAGATGGCTTCCGCAGCTGCTTCCGCTACCGGTAGCTAGACTCCATAGTACGGTGGATGCAGCGGTTGGATGGCATTTTTTGGAGACACCGAGTCGTGTGGAAAATATCTTCTCACTTCAACTTTGAAGAAGTGCGGCCAAAGCCAACAAGCAAGGGGAAAAGGAGGAATGATAGATGAATGTGTGGCAGCAATGACTATTCGACTTGCCACCATCAAGATTCTTATATTGGTGCTGCTGTATCGTCCAAGAGTTGCCTCCGCCCAGGGAGTTTGTGTTGGGACCGCCACAGCCTGTGAGGAGTTATTTGGTCCCGAACCTTGCCCTGTCGAGGGCAGCGTGGACGGGAGTGGAGGCGACCTCCTTTGCGCTACGCTCGTTGACAAGTGCCTTTATCTGTGCCAGAGACAAGACGTGGCCGGATACAATTCACCATGTTCCTGTTTGAATGCAAACTTTGGATGCGACGATGAAGGTGGATGCAGCTTAGACCTGATTTGTGATGGCACTCCAGAGTGTACAGTTCTGACCAACGCATTGGATTGCTCCACTACCGATGGATGCGAGTGGGTATCATCCGATGATCCACCGGTGCCAATACCCACCAATCTGCCTACCAGCAGCCCTGCTGACGCCATTGACTCGGCTCGGCTTCAGGCTGCAAGGGAATATCTGATCAACCAAGGAATCTCAAGTCAGGCT